ATTCCCTGTAAATGCAATGAAAGCAAAAAGTATTTATATTTCCCCCTTAAATTTTAACCCAAAAATTTTTTTTTTTCTAGCACCAAATAAAACCCTAAATTCCATTTTAAACAAATTTTTAAATTGTTTTACTATAAAAATGAAAAAGGAACCAAAAAAAAAGCGTAATGTTTTTTCCTAAAGGTAAGTTTTAATTACAGGGGGCCTAAAAATTTTTTGGATTAAATCCTCATTTAGGAATAAAAATACACACCGGCCCCTTTGTAGCCTTGATTCTCAGATCAAATTTTTAAAATTTTGTAACCCCCATTTTTCATGTTGATTATTCCATAATTCAATTTGGATAGTGATTACAGCCTTTAAAAAATAGAACCCAAATATTTATTTCATGTTTTTAAAGGGGGAGACACAGGCAACATTTTCATTTTCCTTTTTTGAATTTTTCATTCATTTAATCTGTTAAATCCTCAAAATATATACACTTGACAGTCATCGGTGATTCTTCGGCGGCCCTAAATTTCGTTTAATATATTTAGCTTCAAACTTTCAAAATATTATAAATAGCATTGATACCGAAATTCATGCTTGGACTTTTTAGGGAATTTTTGAGTACATAAGATAATTTTGGTATTAGTCATTAATTTAGCCTGCGTATTCCTTAAAGTTTTTTTTTAAATTTCATCATTTACGTTCAATATTAAATCTTAGTTTACGAAGATATTTAAAGAGTGTGTATGTTTTTTGCACTTTAAAAGCCTTGTATGCCATATTGAAATTCTATGGGTGATGCTGAGTGTCCTTATTTCATTGCTATTATAATGATATCAAGTATCTTCTCTAGTTGACGGAAAGTCTATTTGAGGTTTAAGACTTTTCTGAAGTTTATGTTAAAACATAGTCCTGAAAAGGATTGACAGCCTTTTAGACTTGATAAACAATAAACAACCGTGACTTAACAGGCTTAATCAATCACAGGAAATCTTCAAACTATGAATACAACAAGAGACCCAACGTTCATATGATATGCAGTTCCTCGAAAACGTTAAGTCACATGAATTTGTTAATCAGGCTTTCAACGAAAACCGGGTAATTGTTATACCAAAGTCGACAGGCGTGTAGGTGAGAGGACTCTCAAGTTCCTTGTTTTGGGTTTACCGTGCTCAACTTGAGAGCGTTTGCTTTGCCTAAAGACACTAAACTGTTGTGTTTAGTTATGGTGGGTAGTTTATATTCAAAAGAGGCACCCTTGGGATTCCCTCCCCCGGGGTTTTTTGTGATAAAACGGTCAATGCTCCTAAAAAAAGAAAATTCAGTTTTCCTCAAATAGTTTAAAAAGTTTTTCCCTTTTTGGCCATTAAAAACAAATTTGGGTTTTGGTTTTGGGAAAGGTTTTTAAGGGAGGCATCTTTGGGGTTGCAAATTTTTTTGGGGGGTCGGGGTTTGTTTAAAAGGGTAAGGGTTTCACTTTTACACAAAAGTAGAAATTCAGTTTCCGTTTCTTTTCATTTTGATTTTTGTTTTGGGGCCAAATTGACTTTAAAATTTTTAGAAAAGTGGGTAGCTTATATAAAAGTTTCCCAACTTTGTATTGCTACCCCAAGGGTGTGTTGGTGCCAAGGTCAAGATCATTGTCGCTTTAAAAGAAAACTCAGTTTTCACATGATTAATTTGAGTTTGCTTTCACCTATTGACTCTAAACTTGCCCTGCTGTGGTAGCTTATATTACGATTTGCAATTTGGGATTGCTATTTTGATAATTCTGGGAGCCTATTCACTTTTTTGTTTTTGTTTTAGAACAAAATTACAAAATTGCGGATTGGTAGCAAAGAGCCTTAGTTAGGATTTTTGCTCTTTATCTTTGTAAAGTTGCCTCTTTGGAATTTCTAGCTGGCAAACAAGATTTAACTATTATGTTTTATCCTATTTGAGCTTCGAAACTCTACCAAATCTCAACCATTCATTCTCATTCTTATTGAATTGTTCGTAATTACGTTCACATATCATAAAAAGAATTGCACATGTCAGATCAAAACTGTCCACAAAGGGGAACAAAAACCTGCCCTTTTATAGCCTTTTTTGGAATTTACGTTCTTGATTTTTGATGATGAAAAATCAATATGCTTTACTCTTTACTTCTTGTCTTGTTTAAGCAATGTCAACTAAAAATTTTGGAATTTGTTGTCAAGTCTAGAAACTGCTGAGCCTATATCAAACATAAACCCAGCACAAAATACTGACTGAGAACAACTCTAAATAATAACAAACAACACATTCAATCACAAAGTCTGTTCTCCACAAGCATTGCATTCAAGAAAACTGTCAGCATTAAGAGAAATAAACCCTAGGTATCTGATGTTTTATGGGCAGCAAGGCGTACTCATATCATTTTCAATGTCCCATTCGTTCTAAAACCTTTGACTTGGTGACGTATCCCCTTGCAATCTTACAAACATTTGAGGCCCTTCAGAAGAAAAAAAACAATGCCAAGATATGGCCCAAATTATCTAGTATGTTTGTCCCTTGTTTTCCTTTATCTAATTTTAGCTCGGGGAAATTTCGTCATATAAAGGGTGTTGACTTTGGAAAAGTCTAAAATAAAAAACTTGAAAAAACTTGCCTTTTGGAAAATTTTTTTTTAAAAATATGAGAAAAAATTATTGCAAACGGGGGGCCAAAAAAACATGAAAAACCCCCGCAAAATAAAAGTGATATTTTGTGGGGACAGGGGACCTTTTTGGGGGCAAAAATGGGAATTTTTACATAATTTAAAAGGGGGTGGTGGTTTGGGAATTTTAAAAAAGGTGGGGGGGTTTATATCAATTTTTGATACATTTTCCCCAAGGGAAAAAAAAGGTTTTTAAAGTTAGTTACAAAAATGAAATAAGTGTAACTTCCCCACTAGGGTTAGCGCCGCCCCCGTGGCCCAGGGGTTAGAGTTTGATGACTTTAAAACCATTACCTCTCTGGCGTTTGGGGTTGTCCCCGGGGGATGCTTTGGTAGTTTAGCGCGGAGGAAAGGTAAATCTGTACTGGGTGTAAAATCTCCCCGGAAAAGGGTTTGGGTTTGGAAACTACCCGCCTATATGACTGAAATACTGTTGGGAAAAGGCGTAAAATGAAACAAACAAACAAACAAACAAACACTAGATTAGTCTTGAAAGTTGGTTTCAAGTTAGCAGTTAATCAATCGAAAACCAATGTGTAGTGTTTAAAGGCAGTTATTTCATCAAAAAGGGGTTTTCCCCAAAAACCCAGTCCCGTAAACTGCCAAAAAATTTTCCCCAAAAAATTTTCATTTTATTTTTTTACAAAAAAAATGGACAAGTAAAGTACTTTCATATTGGGAAAAAAAGGGAAGTTTTTTTAATGAAAATTTAAATTTTTAGGTTTAAAGCATAAATTTGAGTCCAGGACATAGGTAACATTACATTTCTGCTTTTTAACCCAAAAAGTAAAATTATTTTTATGTCTGCCAGGTTTTTTTGTTTTTTTCTTTTACAAAATTCTAAAAAATGCCCCCTATTATAAAATTTCATATTTTTATGGGTATTTAAAAATTCAAATACCCAAAAAGACTGGGTTTTAAAATTTTTGGGCACTGTTACTTTTTAATTCTGTTATTCACACCTTCTTTTTCTTAATACCCTTTTACAGGGTATCAACAAATAGCAAATTTTGAAATTTTATGGGCAGATATTTAATTTCCGTTTGCTTTTGAGTTATGCTAGTATTTTTAAATACTTTTATTTAATCTGTTTGATAAGTATTTCCTTGTTGATAAATTAAACATTGTAAACAAAAAGGAATGTTGTAAAAAAATGATCTGTCTTAACATCTTTAGGAATACAGCGATGACAGACCTCTAAACAATATTCTATTTCTTCGGATTTCCGGGGTCGTGAAACTCAATTGACAAACAGAAAATAATAAAATCTGTTAAATGTTACAGCTTTAAAAGACAAAGCAATGTTTTTAAATACTAATTTAACAACTATTTTTTCTGATTACAATAAACCCTTAATATGCATCCATCTATCAAGTTTCTCTTAGTAAAAACAAGCGTTTTTGAAATTTGTAACACGTATGGCGGCCATTTTGGATTTTTCCCGCCATATTGGATTTTCAAAAATGGGTCCCATGCTCAATTTTTCTTATATATATCAAAGTCCATTTGTACCAAGTTTGGTGCTTTTCTGAAGTATTTTTTCACAAATTGACTGGACTACTACTTGTAAGAGTAGTTTAATTAAATGACATGGTCTAACCTGAAATAAGTAAATATAACATACATGTATGTTGTTTTTTCTTAAACAAAATTGGTCATTCCTGCATTTACTTTACGCTGGACATTTTAACCTCAACGAATAACTAGTAGTTTGTTAATATGTTGATGATAGTAACTGAACTAACAGATCATTGATCATCTGTTGAGAAGGTAGAAAAGTTCTGAATATACTTTAAGTATTGCCAATTAAAAGATAGTTTGATCTGAAGAATAGTTTATTATAAGATCATAACGTTTTAAGTTCAGACTTTATTACATGTAACCTGTTACCATTGTATTTTTGCTCGACAGAAGTGCGGCCGTTCAATAGCGGAGCAGTAGATAAATGTTTTAACCCTTAACTGGTTGTCTAAATGCACCGAGTTTGTACTCACAGTGTTTTTACAGAATGTATCAGGTTAAAGATGAACGTGAGAAAACGCTCGACTGGGATGATTCCATATCGTGCACCATCAACCATTGTTATGTTCAAATTGCGACTTTTCAGCTTAACTGGTGAAGGAAGAACTCTGGTGTCACCCGTGCATTATTGCATGCACGAGTAGAACCACCGACGCTCCGACATGTGAATATATTCAAAAGTCGTCTCTTCATTGTAAATTGTAAAGAACAAGAGGGAATGGCAATAGTTTGACGCTAATGTCTGTATTTCTTACAAATTTCTCTGAATATTTATTACACAACTTCTACAAAAAACAACCGGAATGGAACAAAACTAAATCTATTGATTTATTGATTATACAAATCCATGTCATAATAAAACAGCAACAACTTCGGTGCAATGATTGATCAGGGAAAAGCCTGCAAATCGTAAAAATTAAAATAAAACATTTAAATTAATGAGTTGTACAATAGATATGAAATAAATATGTTAGCTGAAAAGAACGAACAATTCTGTTTTCTTTGTTTTGTTAGGTTCTTTAGTATATCCATCAATATGATTTTTTTTTCGTATGCAGATAGTCCTGATGACTTTGCAATTGGATTTTAAAATCCACGTTTCAAACATCACTTCAAAAATATATATAAAAAATAATTAACATATATCAAGTAAAACAAATAAATTAATATTATTAGATAATCATATCAAATAAAAGCAACATTGCCAAATAGCTATACACTATGTAAAATTAAAAGGAAAAAAGGGAAAAAAAACAAGTACACGTATAAGATAAGAAACAAATATGCTTTGATTTTTTCCACTGCAAATAAATATACATGATAACATAAAATCTTATCAAAGATTAATGATTTGATAACAGTTTATTCAAATGTTCAGTCAACCATTTGTCAATAAGGTTTGGTCCCAGAGATTTACAACATATATACAAGCTTATAAAATGTGGTGATCGTTCAAAGTGCAGTTGATACCGATACAATTAAATCTATATATTTATTAAAAAAACCCATTAGTAAAGAAAATTTATCCTAAATCAATGATTCAAGACTATTTTTAATTTAGTGTACGTTTTTGATTACCATTAATATGTAGTTTGATTTGTGTATATATCTTTTATTTATGGTACTTTGAAATAATAAAAATGTCATGTTTATTCCAATTTTAAAAACACTGCAGATCATCTTGGTATACTCAAATTGTTCATCAGAAGTAGGTATCTTTTAAATTCTTTTAAAGTCCGGTATTTTTTATGTTGTTTCTTCAATAGAGCTGAAAACATAAATAATACAGTAACTAAATACTCTTTGAGTACATGAAAATAAACCCTAAATAGAGCTGTAAATAGATAATATGCAGTTAATTGTAATACTAAATACTTTGTGAGTATATACATAGAAATCTTAAATAGAACTATAAATAAAAAATATCAACAAATAAATGTAAAACAAACGAGTCCAAACATCTTGAATAGGGTTGTAAATAAATATAATACAGTCAAATGCTATATTCACGACTTGCGCAAAGAAAAAAGTGGTATATTTTTCATCAAATTATTATTGTACGCGAAACATGCGATTGATATATAAGGGTGAAAAATGTAATATCACTTTTGTTACAGATATGTTTCACTAGCGACATTATATCTAAGTTATCAGATGCCACAAAAATTATTTCTTTTCCTAACTCCTGAATTTTTCTGTACCAATCTTTTAAATACTTATTATTCTTATCAGATAATTACTTTACTAATTTAAAGGTATTCTATGCTCACACTTGAGTAAATTATTTTAATCACATAAATTTACTGAAATATATGAAATTCTTACTTTATATGTATAATTTGAATATATGTTTATTTTGAGTAAAAGAATGAATAAACTATGTATGGGAATCTGCGTTTCCTATTAAAGGTCATGTAAAGTAGGTCTTTTCTGTAAAAACCAAAACAAAATCAAAAACAAAAAACTGTCAGTTTTTTATTTTTAAAGACAGTATATATTCATATTGTGACAACTTATAGTGTGTAGGATATTAAACATAACATATTTACTGTGTTTGACGTCAAAACGTGTTTATTTTATATTTACAAAGAGACTTTGTAGCAATTATCAAATTGAATATTTTTATATCAAATTTGAGCATAGTATATCTTTAAATCAGGAGAAAACAGAACAGATCAGAGTTTATTTCATAACTTGTACACACATATGTACATCGATATAACAAGCATTTTGAAATATAATTTGAGGTCACATATTTTACAATTAAGAATAAAACACATATGAAGAAAACAATCAATACAATACTGAGCAATGGGATATTTAATACATACAATGCAATACATCATATATACCGACAAAACTCCATTAATCAATTATATATACATAGCTATAAATAACTTCTGTAAATGAATAATGAAGAGTACTAAATTTAAGCGGAGAACAAACTATAACTTTTAATCGAATTTGTTTGACAAAATATTTATATAATAAACAGAAAGAAAATCAAGGTATATATAATCAAAATCGTCAATTATACTAATAATTATATAATTACGTTATTGTAATCTAGAATACGGATAAGTATATAATAATGTGATTATCATCTATTATGTAAGGCAATAATTTTAAATTATTAATGAGCCGTGTCACAACATAACCAACATAATGGGTTTGCGACCAGCATGAATCCAGACCAGCCTGCACATCCGCGCAGTCTGATCAGGATCCATGCTGTTCGCTATCAGTTTCTCTACTTGTTATAGAGTTTGTAATCGAACAGCATGAATCCTGATCAGACTGCGCGGATGCGCAGGCTGGTCTGGATCCATGGTGGTCGAAAACGCATTATGTTGGTTTTGTCGTGAAGCGGCAGCTCATTTTTCTTATACCAAGAAAAGTGTTGTTTATTACAAGAAATGTTCCTTTTATGCTAGCGTGCTGTGTTATTGATTTTTTTCTTTCATTCTTGCATATTGTGCTTACAAGTCTAGATAACTGTTGTTACAATTTTTATCAAAAGGATGTCGACTTGTAAACATGAATATTTCAGCTATAACCAACCTGTATACGATTCATGCTATATTTGTTAAAATTTACTAGTCGAAACTTGGAAAGTTTTGCAACTCTTTCAAAATGTACAAAAAGTGGTTTGAGCTAGTTATTAACATATACATGTATAAAAAACGAGATTTCTTCATTGTTAGTAACGATGTCTTATTATGATAAAATGATTGATTGATTGATTAATTGATCGATTGATTGATTGATTGATTGATTGATTGATTGATTGATTAAATGACTCATATTTTATACATATATAATATTGGATAGCAGCACATGGTTTGTAAAAATGTTGACATATCTTTAACTCATAGTATATTGCTATTAAGTTTAAGTATATTTTACCTATCTGGAGGTATGTAGCTTTAAATAAGATAAACTTAATTACATTTACATAAATTATTTTATATTTTGTATATTAATTTCTGTTGTTTTTCTCTTTAAGCAAATTAATATACCAACGGCAAGTACAGCTACAAAATTGTAATTTAAAATTTAATATGTGGAGGTAATTTTTTTATGTCCAGTAAAGCTTGGACTGTAACGAAGTATCTCCATCTGAATAATAATAGTATTTAAACAGGTAATATTGCTGAATACAAACGGTTGTAAATTACTGGAGCCATTAAGACAAGGTTGCATTGTCCAGAATAAAAAGTTGTAAATTACTGGAGCCATTAAGACAAGGTTACATTGTCCAGAATAAATAGTTGAAATTACTGGAGCCATTATAACAATGTTACATTGTCCAGAATAAATAGTTGAAATTACTGGAGCCATTAAGACAATGTTACATTGTCCAGGATAAAAAGTTGTAAATTACTCGAGCCATTAAGACAAGGTTACATTGTCCAGAATAAATAGTTGAAATTACTGGAGCCATTAAGACAATGTTACATTGTCCAGAATAAATAGTTGAAATTACTGGAGCCATTAAGACAAGGTTACATTGTCCAGGATAAATAGTTGTAAATTACTGGAGCCATTAAGACAAGGTTACATTGTCCAGAATAAATAGTTGCAATTACTGGAGCCATTAAGACAATGTTACATTGTCCAGGATAAATAGTTGTAAATTACTGGAGCCATTAAGACAAGGTTACATTGTCCAGAATAAATAATTGAAATTACTGGAGCCATTCAGACAATGTTACATTGTCCAGAATAAATAGTTGTAAATTACTGGAGCCATAAAGACAATTTTACATTGTCCAGAATAAATAGTTGAAATTACTGGAGCCATTCACACAATGTTACATTGTCCAGAATATATAGTTGTAAATAACTGGAGCCATAAAAACAATTTTACATTGTCCGGGATAAATTGTTAAATTCTGGAGCCATTAAGACAATCTTACATTGTCCGGGATAAATAGTTGTAAATTATTGGAGCCATCAAGACAATGTTACATTGTCTGTCTGGGATAAATAGTTGAAATTACTGGAGCCATTAACACAATGTTACATTGCCCAGAATAAATAGTTGTAAATTACTGGAGCCAGTAAGACAGTGTTACATTGTCCAGAATAAATAGTTGTAAATTACTGGAGCCATAAAGACAAGGTTACATTGATTGGGATAAATAGTTGAAATTACTGGAGCCATTAAGACAAGGTTACATTGTCCAGAATAAATAGATGTAAATTACTGGAGCCTTCAAGACAATGTTACATTGTTCAGAATAAACAGTTGAAATTACTGGAGCCATTTAGACAATGTTACATTGTCCAGAATAAATAATTGAAATTACTGGAGCCATTAAGACAAAGACAAAGGGGTTTGCCAGAAGAGGGATGTGCCCCCTCCTGTTTGGAGGGTTTGAAGGGTTGCGACAGTCCCCCTCATCGCCAAGAAAAAAATGGACTTGTAAGAGGCTAAAAACGACCCCAGATCAATCATAAGGTAACGTGTAACCAGCGCTGAAAAGCATTTGACTGTATCTCAATTTTGATGGAAAAAATCAACGCAAAATAGTGATTTTTGGCAGTTTTGAGATGTCCCCTCGTTTCCATGGTAACAGGAAATTTAAACCTGAGCATGTTGTTACAAAGGCAATGGTCCAGTAAACATTTGTGCCAAGTTTGATTGGTATTGAAGCAGTTTTTATAGTTTTATAGCAATTTGAACTTGTAACGGGAGACGTTTCAACGAAAACAGCCATTTTCACAAAATGCTCATGAAGTAATGTGTTAATGAAAAAAAATCTACAAAACAACCATTTTTCCTCAAATTTATATGTAAGGCTATGTTTAAACATGGAAAAACGCGATTTTGGGTTATTTCAGGTATTTTCATCATTTTTTGTTAACCCCTTTACCTCATAGATACGCGAAACGCGTTTTCGAGCCACCCATCTATTAGGCCACAAATAGTGAAAAAATGTCCTGTTTGGGCCCCAAACACATGTTTTCGTTTTAGAAATGTTGATAAAACAATTGACCACTTTTTCGGCGCGGCCCACAACCAAAAGATACATCAGGGTGTTGAAGGAGGGCGGCAGTCCCCCTAATCACCAAGAAAAATTTGGACTTGTGAGAGGCTAAATATGACCCCAGATCAATCATAAGGTAACGTGTAACCAGCGCTGAAAAGCATTTGACTGTATCTCAATCCATTGAGAAGTTGCAGCACTTTGAAATCAATTTTGATTGAAAAAATCAACGCAAATAGTGATTTTTGGCAATTTTGTGATGTCCCCTCGTTGCTATGGTAACAGAAAATTTAAGCCTGAGCATGTTGTTACAAAGGCAATGGTCCAGTAAACATTTGTGCCAAGTTTGATTAGTATTGAAGCAGTTTTTATAGTTTTATAGCAATTTGAACTTGTAACGGGATACTTTTCAACGAAAACAGGCATTTTTCACAAAATGCTCATGAAGTAATGGGTTAAGACAATGTTACATTGTCATGAATAAAAGTTGTAAATTGCTGGAGCCATTAAGATAACGTTACATTGTTCAGAATAAACGGTTGTAAACTTTCTGAACCATTAAGACGCAAGCAACCGTATATGAACAACCAAAGCTGTCAAGCGTCTTTATAAGGAATTTATACAACTTCACATTGGCTTCCTTTTATAAATAAATGCATAATTGAAGTAATGACACTTACTAATGAGACTCGGAACTGACCATCTTGATATGCTATAAAAATTGATCATGAACAGTTCTAATAATGAACGGCGAATAAATTCATTAAAGGAATTCCGCAAGTTAGACCAAACCGGCTGAATTTGTGTATTAGATTTGTTAAGCGATTGCCAATTTCATATTTAAGCTTCCAAAAGTATAGAGCCTGGTCACAATGTACGGATATGCAGGGTGGACTAGCTCTTTACTTGTGCCAAAGGCTAATCATTGGACTGTATCTGTACTGGTGACAAAACCTAATCACTTACAGTTTCAGAAGGTTATGGGTCAATAACACAAAACCACAACACATTCAATCAACTCAGCAACGAACCTGGAATAATTTTGTTCTAAATTTATCCACCATTTATCTAAACAAAAGAGAAAACTTTTTAAAAGACTTCCGTATGCGTTTACACACCATTGGATATTTTTATCAAATCTTTCATAATAGTTTTTTTTATTTCGTTTGGTTAAATTATAAGTTTAATATATGCGACAGATTTATTCAATCAAATACGGCCTACATTTCATGAAATGCGATTATCTACATTCAAATTATTCGTTTTTTTTCAAGTTGAAAAATATATATGTGAAGTGTGAATGTATGTTAATTAAAAATGATTGTCACAATATCCATTGATTTTATGGTACATTTTTCTGAAAATTCTAAATACTAGTATTCCAACAATGATACTTAAATGACATTATAATGACATTAGCACGAACTCATTTCGTTGTCTGTTTAAGTTATTCTAATGTCGTAGTTTTTCCGTAATCATTTGATGGCCATTTAGCGATTTAAAAACAATAATCATGCAACTATGCAAGGAATGAAATATACGATGTCGTTGTTTTCTCATAGCTGTCATAATATATTGCCGGCAAATACTAATGGCAGAATGATATGTTTAATTAGACATTAATCTAAACGAATTACTACTGAGTTAATGCATATACAAATTTTCTCACATGGCTCCGGAATAACTGAATTGCGTACAAAATATGATAGCTATAGAAATTATATTGTATCCTGCCATACTATCAGATGCTAAACTAAAAACAAAAACATATAACTGGAACTAGTTTAAGACGAAGGAGGTTATGAAGAGAAAGTTATGTAGCCTCGAATTGACCCTTCGCTTTCTGTTTTGTATCATAGCAATTATTTGCAATTTATTGTTATAAATCGATTAGAATAGGAATAATCCGTTGACTGACGAATGCAGCTATTTTAAATTGAACAGGAATGGTGTGTGCGAGATGATAATGTCAAAACACACATATATTATTTATATTAGATAATTGAAAAATATCATCGACATAGAACTAAAACAAACGAAAACAAAAACACTTTTATGTTTTACATGCAAACTTTACTAAATGACCAAAGCGCTCATATTCCAAAATCCTGGATATCAACGGTTGATTTGTTCTATCACTCTCCGACAGTGAGGCTATTGAATGAGTGTAGGTTTACATTAGCGCACTTTAACACAATCTTTGCTTTTCGCAAATGACGTCACTATATGTAGATATTACACTAGTATAATTTCACTAGTTAAATATTGATTGTTGATGGTTTTATTAAACTCCAGCACGGTGGTTTATGTAATAAATTTCATAATAAGATATCGATAGGGTTTCAAAATATCATGTAGCATATTGGTAAAAATTATTTCCTTATAATACTCATTCAACAAATGCTTTGTACTATATAAATACAAACAAATATTTAGATAAAGAACGTCTTTACATACAATGCAAAGTGAAAAACTAGATAAACGTATTTTTATTTCCATATTAATGGAATGTATACCATAGATGCTGGTCTTCTTATAAATCGACACGATGTTCTCTTGTTCCATTTGCACGTCCAGTGTCATCTGGGTTCTTTTTCTTCGCTGATCTTACATAATATTTAAGTCTTTTGCTAAGTTGACGGCCCACTTTTCCTATAACGACAAGATCAGTGTTGCATTTATTTTTTTCTATGGAACGCCATAGCTGCCTTGTATTGTTACATTTCCTTTCGTCTTCCCCGGAAAGCGCACATATGTCAAATATTAGTGTTGTGTTGCCATAATATTTTGTCGACTTGTGTAAGCATTGCCTTATTATACGTAACAGTAGTCTTATCATTTCAAAATGTGATGTTGACTTGTCCTTACATTGTTAAATCATTTCAAAGAGTAATGTTTTCATGTCAAAATGTCGTTTGCATTTTCTTAAATGTGTCTGTCAGCTAGTCGCACTGTTTTGTCAAATTGTTGAGCTGATTTGTCAAAAGACTATCTGATCATTTGGAACAGTTTTCTCATGTCGAAATATTGTGTTCACTTGTCAAAGTACTGCTTTATTTCATCAAACTGCTATCTTATTTTGTCAAAATACGGTGATTAAATGCCTAAACATTGTCTGACTGTGTCGAACAGAAGTGTTCATTAGCCAGCGTAGACTAATGATTGGTCATAGTACGTTCAATATTCGTATTATCTTGCCGAAATTGGGTGTTGACTGGGCTAAATGATGCCTTGTTATGATAAAATGTATGCTATTTTGTCAAATATGGTTTTGACTTGTTAAAACTCAATTTTATAATATCATATAATCGCGATATAACATAAAAAGACATGAATTGGACAATTTGAAACCAAGTTCACACAAGATTAAACAACTGTTTCACATAAAAAGCCAATTTCTAGACAATTTACCACCAGATGAGAACATTACAACATGTTATTTTAACAAACAAAGACAGTTATTAGGCAAGATAACACCGAATTTGAACACGATTACATGGCAGTCTGACAAAATGTGACAGTGTTTAGACAAGTCAATACCACATATGGACAAGACAAAATGACAATTTTATATTATACAACAGGGTTTAAAGAAACAAGAATCTCATTAGGACAAGAGGAATCCAATGTTTGCCAAATAAAGAAGTGTTCAGACAATGCAACATCACGTTTAAACAAAACTGGTTGAAAAGACAAGTTGAAATCAAAATTCAAAAATATGGCGTGCATGTTAGACATATCAAGACTTCAATCAGGCATCGAATTTGGACATGACCACATGCTGATTTAAAACAATAAAACAGTGTTTAGACAAGTCAGCACCATATTTTGACAAGATAACATAAATATTTGACCTAATAAGACTTTGCTAAGTTAGGTTCACATAAAATGTTGGCAAATTAACACTTCTTTTATACAGAATAAGACGCTTTCTAGGAAAAAAACAACAAAACGTAACCCCATGAGACAAGTATGGGGTTCCATATTTTCCATTCAAAATGACTGAGTTTAATCTCTACGTAATCTTGATAATTTTATTGACAAATTGAAAACATGGCATTTCTGATCTTGATAATGATTTTAAGTCATTAGTTTAATAACAGAATTACAGTCATACTATGTCTTTCTGTTAAACAGAATAGAATACAGTGATTCTCATCATGTATACATACACACATTTTCTTGCAACTGATTGCAAAGCATAACCAAATAATATAACGGTTTTTGTAGATGGAAATAAAGCCAGTTATTGCGTTGCCAAAGCACAACATAATACACAAATCAAGAGAAAAAAGCATGCTTTATTTACCTTTAGATGCTATTCGGTCATAGATTTCGTCATCCTCGTCCCTCTGTTTATTCCGAGGTCCGCTGTCATCAAAATTACTGCAACAGAAGACAATATTACACGCTTTTCAATAGACAGTGCAACTATATTTGATTATTTCGCATTGAAGTTGCACAGTAGCAAGACAATATTTGAATGCGGATGAAAAGAATGGTTTATCAGTAAGTGTTAATATCGTCACATATGCACTTTGTCGTAAAGTAAAATGTATTCATTTTTGAAAAAAACACACCCGTTAGTTTCAATACCCTTTACAGTGACTCTAGCCTATTTGAATACTCTTCAAAGTAGAGATAGTGCATTAGGAGTGTACTACCTTAAGTACACTATATTTATTAAACCTATTAATCAATAATAAACACATTACTTACTCATGAAAGTATTGCCTAGTTAAAGGATTTTCCTGTAATCTAGATGCAAGCTCTGATCTTCCTGCTTCTAGGTTTAACCTCCTCCTCTTTACTGTTGGGTGAGGTTCTTTAATATTTTTATCTTTTGCCCTACGCGCTTCATTTTGCACCCTTAATCTAAATTCGTCACGATGCTTCCTCATAGTCGTCTGGATACCATCTACACTATCTATTTGTCTTGTTCTTCCTATATCATCCAAAGGCCGTGAAGTTGCACTTAGACCATTTTGTGTTACAGTTGCACGGTGCCTGTATTAACAAGGGGGCAATGTACAACTGTATTAAATTTAAAAGAAGATGTTTTCAGTCTTTACTATATACATATAAAGAAAGTCTATGAACCCTTGGGCTGGGCCAATTTGATTCCAGAGTTATGATTTGAACAAACTTGGTAGACGTCCTCTACCAAAAGTGTTTCAAGCAAAATGTTTAACCTTTAGCTTTTGGGAATTCAGAGGAGAATTTTTTTATATTTCTACTACATATACATAATCAAAAGGAAAACATATGATACCCCTGTACGCAATGATAAGGAAATGATAAGGAAAACATCTGACGCCCGGGAGCCGGGCCAATTTTGACACTGGGACCAACATTGAAAAAAAACTTTGGTAGATTACCGATAGATGATAAAATATACATATAACTAAACTCTAAGTCTTGAATCTTCATACGAGAGATTTTTAAGTTTTTTTTATATATTTATTAAGTAAGTAAAACGCATGTGCCCCGGGACGGGGCCAATTTTGAACACAGGGCTACAATTTGAATAAATGTGGTAGACAATCTTCTATAAAAAATTATATACAAAAGTTAAAAGGTGTGAACTTTGTTCTTTCAGACAAGAATATTTTTAATGTAAACCTATAACCCCCGGGGCGGGGCCAATTTTGACACTAGAGGACCTAAGATGATATAATATACCAAATATCAAACCTCTTGGCCTCGTACTGTCAGAGAAGAAACTATTTGAAACTCATTTCCTGGCCGCGTGACCAACCTATGGAACAGAACGGAAGGATTTGAACAACTTTGGAAGGGGACAGCTGAAGGATCTTTCTTGTTAAGTTTGATTATTGTGCATTGATTTGCTTCAGGAGCAAAAATGTTGTTTAAAATAAATGTTGACGACGCACAAAGCACGACGACGGACGGTGGGGATCACAAGCTCATCATGAGCACGTTGTGCTCAGATTTGCTAAAAAGGCATGAACAATCATTACATAAGTGTAAGGTTCCCACCAAATATCTTTATACGCTATTCTATGCATTAATATCACAGTGTGTCAGATAAATAAAACTTTTAAAAATGTACGGAAACAATCTCTTGAATAGCCCAATATTGGTATGGTCAACTGGTTAAACAAAAAAGAAAAACATGTATTTAAAGATCAAACCGTAAATTAGATAAAATATTAGCACTCATTTCCTTTCAAATTTGTCATTAAGAGAGCCGAATATTGTTTTTCACGGTCATTTTCTGTAAATCAAATTGAAAGCGCCAGGTGATATATAATTGTGTTTCTCAAACTGTTTTTTCCCCAAATAATTGGTTGTTAAAAAAGCAACCCAATGAAAACCTGAAAAAAGATATATATTTTGTAAACGCAAAGAATTTTAACCTTAACCCAGTTCTCTGTAAAACACGCAGTTCGTTTTTTATTTCTTTTTCAAACTCATCGTCGTCCTCGCTGCCATCAGAATAACCTGGTAGCGGTTCTGCAAATACTGTTTCTAATATTTCCCTTGCTTCTTTGGAATCAACATTTACTTCATTCGAAGACAGTTTTGCTTTCACACCAACCTTTTTCCAGAAAAAAATACAAAATATCTCAATGTTTTTCTAGCTACACACAATATATGTGAATAAAGAAATCTTACTCTTTTTAAAAGCTAACAAGAAATAATTTGTGCCAAAACTAAACAATCAATACTGGTAATCTGAGACAGAAAAAAAGAATGCGTCATTGAAGTATTTAATCAAGATGCAAGGATATTAAAACAATCACCTGAGGCAATTTTGTTATGGATACTAGATGCAGGAACGTTTCCCATCTATGTACTATCATACCTATAAATTGAAGCAACAGAATTGCTAAGTAAAAGAAAATAAAGAGCAATCCCAATAAATCAACTTTAATGATATTGTTGTCTGATGCACTCATATCGGTATCTTTTTGGTTTTCCTCCAAGTAGTCAGGACTATCGGGATTGTCAGACGAACCCTGAAAAACAATTTGTTAATAAGCAACGTCCATCTAATCATTAAATTAAACAGAATGAACAACACATAAATTATTTTAAAATAACAAAACATAATGAAATAATTGCAATTTAAAAGTAAGACGAGTTAAACAATTTCATTAAAATAATTTCGATTTATTTCGAAAATGTTTGTAGATATCTAATAATTTTACATAACATCTGTGTAAAGTTTGTAAGCTTATATTATAAGATTGAAATATCTTAAAAAATCATTAAATTTTTCATGTAATTTTAAATTTTAATGTTTATATATACTAACAGAAAATGGCAACGGTATGGTCGTCGGACCTTGTAACTGAAACATGAAGTTGATGGCAATCCATAGTAAATTTATCATCGCCATACCAAGTGCAATATTGTTCCGTAAGTCTATCAAACTCATTGCAATGTTCTTTTTCTCCTCTTCTGTAAGTTCAATTGGTTCAAGGTATCTAAAAATGAAAAAGAAAATTTCAAAAATTGATCATTTACTGTAACAGAAATTTACTGAACCATGTAATCATATCAAATATTTGTCTTTGCACAAAGTAGAATTTATAGACAGAAGAATTTGTTATAATGTACTGGTGCGTTTTCGTGAATAATTAAAGGAAATAAGATCAAAAACAATTTCGAAATTTTAATGTGATTTTCAAAACAACAGATAACAATAATTAGAACAAATCCATATATCTGCTTGTCATAAAATGTATGGCATCAATGTAATCATGGTGAATGTATTTTTTTACTTTATCATTCGACGTAATTAACATATTCAAAATAATATTGCCCAAGTCAAAAGTAAATTTTGAGAATGAATGAAAAGAGGTTAATTCACGGCAGAGTATATTTAGTACAATTTTATTTTAGATAATTTCGTACAATTTATTAAAAAAGAGAAAACCATAATCTCAAAAGAAAGTTTAAAACGACAAAATTGAATATATTACAGGCTCGGTTTGATTGAGCCTGTCCATGGACGGTACTAGAAAGTACAAGTTACCGTCCACGCCCCCTAGCACCCGCTTAAGCAGAATTTAACATTCAGCATGAAAATGGTGAAAATTTGATTTCAATAACATCCGTAGATGTGTTCATATGGCGGTTTTCATGGAACCTTCAATGTGACACAGAATTGTCATTCCATTTAAAGCGGCGTATGGTCCCCTAGTAAAAATATGCTTGTGCCCTAAGCGAGAAAACAATTGGTGGAACGAAATAAAATGGAATTTTGAAAGGGGATCTGAGATTATGAAGCCTGCATATCATATACAAGACGTCAAACGACAAATTTTAAAAAGCAGGCAAGATATCCTATGTGACAATAAAATAGATAAAAAAATGATTCTCTATAGAAAGCCCAACACGACAAAATTGAAAATGTTGCAGGCTAGGTTTGATTGAGCCTGTTCATGGACGTTACTGAAAAGTGCAAGTTACTGTCCACGATCCATAGCACCGGCTTATGCAGAATTCAACATTTAACACAAAAAAGGTGAAAATTTGGATTTAAAAACATCCGCAGATGTGTTCATACGGCTGTAATCATGGAACCTTCAATGTGACACAGAAGTGCCATTCCATAAAAAGTTGCTTATTGTCCCCAAGCAAAAGAATGCATGTACCCTAAACGAGAAAACAATGGGCGGAAATAAATAAAATTGAATTTTGAAAGGGGATCTGAGGTTATGAAGACTGCATATCACAGACAACACGTCAAAAGACAAATTTAAAAAGCAGGTAACATATCCTAAGGGGTTATACAGTATTCAAGTAGGAATTCTTGAACCACCCGAGTTGAAAAGGGCCAAAAATGAACGTTCAGAATATGTCTAACTTTGTTATAAAACTCTTCCAAAATTTCAGTTCCTCTGAAGCTAGTTGTAATAATTTTCCCAGCCCTAGTTTTTTCACTCTCCCCAAGCGGGATTTACCAGTTTTCAAACTTTTTAAAACTCTATCGTATTTTGGGTTTCCTAAGGTCATCGTAAATTTTTTTTAAGCGGGTAAATTTTTTTTTGGCATAAATTTTTGTTTTGCTGTTTCTTTTTGGGGGTTTTTTTCAATATCCTTGTTTTTGGGACCTGTGAAGGTTTGTATATCCGGGGTTGAAAAGGTTTTTTGAAGGTTGATCCCAAAAAAAGGGGTTTTTCTGCGGTGCGTTTAGGTTTATTTTTTGGGTTCCCCTTTTTCCCTTAAAATGAGTTTAATTTTCCCTTTCACCCAATTTTTTTTGTTCTTTTAGAATTTAAATCCTCTTTCTTTGCATTTTGACTCTCTGTGAGTTTATGTAGAATATCTTTGAATTCTTTAGTAGGAAATGTAGGAAAGAATCTACCAAAAAAGCCTCTTTTTTTCTTTTTCTTTTCCTTTTCCTCATCCTGCCTTTTTTCTTCTTCTATTTCAGCTGGAGTTTTCTTCTTCGGTACTTCTCGAGTACCCCATGAGACATTATTCAAGTTCATCAATGAATATATATTGAGAAGTAAGAAGCCAGTTGGTATAAGAAGAAAATAAAGAGGACCGAAAATAATGCATGACCACTCCTTTGGATGCAACAGCGCTGAAAAAGTGAAGGCTATAACAAGAAAGCCTAAAAATATGACACTTGGATGAAATGGGCTTTCTTGGGCAGCGGTAACTATAGTTCCGACGAATACGATCATCATAACAAACGCGTATAGTGCTGTGAGAATCCCCGCTACTTGAATTTGAGTTTTTTCCTTCACATAAAAACACAGGATAAAGTAGAATATCGCAGGGGCAAGAGCAATCACATATCCCCATATGACAGTAACTTTGAAGACAACCATGGTAGCGCCAGCAATCATCATTATAATAGTTGCAGGGCCAACAATGGTAGACAATAGCAAGGCACCTTGATACAGGATATACAGCATGCTGATATTGGAATTTACATATACTGTGTTCTTGTAGTCAGCAAGAAGGTCGATGATGTTGAAAACGGTAGATGGCATCCATCTTCGACGTTGATTAAAGAATTCAGCAAAACTTTCAGGAGCATACGTGAAAGCATCAGATCCAGCTGCATAGTCAACTCGATATCCCTGCTGTAGAAGAAGGGTGCATAACCATCGATCCTCGCCTGAAAATACGGACACAGCGTGTGTGTAAATGATCAAGTACGCCAGAATAAGTTTGCTTGAAAATTAAACATGTCGATCTTTGGTTATTACAATTTTATTTGAGTTTCAATTCACAAAGACACTGTTTAGGTCATATGGCGACCTACGAATGGACGAAAATCATATGAGCCCTTACATGCAGTATCTCCGACATGCGCGATTTCCTAATTAGAACTACACTTCTTATGCAAGCTAGCTGGATAACATCCTAATATGAGAAAATCAAAAGTATCTTCGAACCCACATTAAAGTGTACATACATGTAGTTTCAGCTTGTAGTTGAAAAGCAACGTATTCTTTCCTGTGAAAGTGGTTAAAGATAGAACATGTTGGGACGTTCAATTACATTATGAGACTGCCGAGATATGACAAAAATTTGAAAATCGGCGATAAAAAAATCTTTAGTATATTTATAGTAGAAACCGTAGTTATGACCGCTTTAAGGTGTTGTATTTGTACTGTACAGAAATGTAAAGTGAAGGAAATCATTTATAATTGCATCCTATACAATTGATAGCCATATAAACATAGTTTATGACAGTGATCAATTTAATAGTTATTATGTATAAGCTTTGACACACGTGCTTTTATGAAGGGCTATGTTCGTTTTTGAAAGGATGTTTGCTTTTTTCAATAAGCAAACTCGTTGAACTGAGGATAATAAAACAATTATCGAGAATTATGTTCTGTTCGTACTATATAATTTTCACAACATTACTTTTAATACCAATATTTAAAAGTGAAGATGAAGTACACATAAATGACACAATAACAATGAAATAAATTAATTTACTAGTCTTATCTAGTATCAAATAAATCGAACGCTTAAGTATATCTCAGACCTTGATCGTACATAAGGTGATGCGCAGATTCTGTTGGTAGAATGGTATACTTCTTCATAACATTGTCATCCATAAGTGCTGACCCTCTAAACATGGAAAAACATCCGGGACTGCAAAGTACACATCCGAGAACATGCTCCGTTGCTTTCTGTAGCCAGTGAGCGATAGCGTATTCAAACTTTTGGAACCAAACAACTGGTCCTTAAACACAACAGGGTTGGTATAAATGTGTATATTACTTCAATTTGAATTTAGGAAGTCTTTTTTTATTTTAGCTTCTTTAAAATAAACTATTTACATACATATCGACTAATTTTAAACAATATTTGTAAAACGAAGCACGATCAAAAATTAGTATGCTGCTGTTCCTGACGTCAGCCAAGATTCCATACTATTAACAAATATGTTAAAGAGTATAAGATGTTCTTGTTTCAATATTTGATATTAATGCTACTAAATTATTTAACTCTGGTAAATCTAGAATACTTGACAAAAACATTTTTGTAAAGTTCAACTTAAACAATATCAGTTATGTTATTTTGACGAGTGTCCAACCGTCTAGAAAAATTAACTTAATTGAAAATACGCGTAACCGTGATATACTTAAGCCGTTTTACGAATCACAATATTTATAAAGAATGTCATTAACCGTTTGTAATGTTGTGACACTTTGTCAAGAATTTTAAGTTTATAGAATACCTGTTCCAATTGGATGTATTCTACCGCAAGCAGCTCCAACCTTCTGGCTTTTCTTCATCCTGTCAAGAAGAAGACGAACGGCCCCAGGGGTAAAGTCTACGTCACCATCAAGCGCCAATAGAAACGTGTTTTGTGCCTACAGAAAAATGATTATTTCGCTTAACTCAAAACTAATGAAATTGATCACATACCCGTGCGGCTTTTGCAACGCCGTAACAAGGTAATGGATAGGTCGTGCATATTTTTGAATCGACGTAAGTTGCTTTAAAAAAACGTATTTTTTGCGTTTCACTATAAAAGCGTCAGTATAAACATTATTCAGTTTTACAATTTCAACAATTCTTATATTTTAGTATATCAGAACATTATATTTGTTACATTGTTTATTTTTTGAACTTGTTCAATAAAAATATCATATTCAACTCGCTCAATAAATTCAGTATTGAACATACATTCATTTAATATCATCTATATGTTTGATTGATTGTATGTGTACTATTTTAAGTTATCCCATTGAATGTATACTTTGTTTTATATCATATTATATTCTTTTATATCTTTTTTTTACTATGTTATATTGCAAGATTTATTCAGATCATATGATAACGGTAAAAAAGTACCTTTTTAAGGACTTGGTCATCAAACGCCTGAAATATATGACTTCTGCCAATTGATCCACCAGGTGCACTTCCAGGTTCCCATTGAATTAAATCATTAATTTTCCCTACGTTCAGTGCTGCTGCAACCGTTTCATGACACATTCTTACGATCCGGAAACCCAACAAATAGTACATGTACATGACCTAGATAACAAGTAAAGAACAAAAATTTAACAAAGAGCTTAGGAACATTGATCATTCCGAAAGCTTGTAAATTTACTATTATGTCCGTTGGCAATTAATCGTTTTTATTTTTATACCAATTTCAACAACGTTTGGTTAAATGTGGACTTTTGTCCACTTGACCGAATTCATTGATGATTAACCAAACAATTACCATTTTTTCTACAAATGACACATTCTTACAACACATGAATTCAGAATCAACAGCGAGAGACAGATGACCAAAACATTCAATATTAAAAAATGTCAAGCAATGCAAGACAAAAGCCTAATTTGCATGCCGAACAATATACTTACCTGCGACCAACGCTTCCGATGCCTTATTTTTTGTTTGTCTTTCAGATGTATGAAAAGGAAATTATCTCCTGGCATTGTATATATAACTTGTCCGCCATATGGTGTAGGGATTTTGTAAGGTGCCTTGATCTTCATGGGTTTTTCATATACACAGCTAAAAGTATATATCAGTATACCAATTTGATAAAACTAAAGAGAGTAATTTATATAAAAACATACTATACTATGTCAAAAACTCACTCAATAACAGAGTTAGAGTAGACATGTGTCCATATTACAGGATGCCCCAACACTCCACTGTAAATCTACCGATGTACAGAAAGACAATATGACAGAGAAACAAAGGGAACTCTTCACGATTCCTTCACCCCTTAGTGGTTGGGCATTAAAACGGCATTCATCTTTTTCCAATATTGATATCTCGATTTTCCCAATATTAAGATTTCAAATCTTAAATCTTAATTCTACATCCTAAAGTAAGCTTAAGAAATAAAAACAAGCAATGTTCTAGATAAACAACTTCACATTCTGACCTATAAAAATCTTAAAACAAAGTGATCCCTCGGAAGTATTAATCACAACAAAATTACATGAAAATTGCAGACTCGGTTTGATTGAGTCTGTACATGAGAGATAATGAATAAACGCAATATTCCTCACGCCCGCAACCACCGGCTTGAGCGGTACTCAATTCTCAACAATAAATAATGCTGGTATCAATGATTTCGAAGGACCAGGCAATCATAACAGCACTAATTTTACAACAATTACCATGTAAAGCTTTATGACTTTAGGTCAAATACTTTTGATTTACGCAAGACACAAGTTGAGAATGGAAATTTAAGAGCAATAATCCCTAACCTGAATAAATCCACAAGAAATACCGAGGTGCCCGGTTTACATATTTATCAACATTTATGTATATTTTGTTGGTTCTAGCTCTTTATGAGGTACATGTTTTTACTAAATTAAGGGCAATTACTCTACACAACCAAATAAATAAATAAGTATGCAAGAAATTCCCCAGAAACAAAACTAAACATGCTAACAAACCTTTCTGTAAAGTTTCATGACACTAGGTAAAATATATTTGGGTACACGCGACAAAAGCGCACAACTTCATATGCTGATCAGCATTTCTGACCAGTTTGTTGACTCTAGCTCAAGCACTTTTAGAGCTACATGTGATACAAAATGAGACCTCAAGCACGCACATACACGCACAAATATGAATCACAAACATTAAGAAGAATTCTCATTTGATTAATTTCCTTACAAGAAGATTTGTGCAGTCGCGTAAAATGTCTTTTCCTATTGTAATACTACTTAGAATTTTGATATTAAAGTTTCTATTACGACTGACTCTTATTGAAATTACCTTGCGGCATCGTCTATTATGGTTGTCAATAACTTGACAAACTTATTTGGAACCCATTCGTTATTATCATCCAAAGTCATGGCATCATCAAACAGAATGTGTGCTACAATATTAAAAAAGGATATCTTTCAAATAGTTTTAATAAGCTAAGTCTTAAATAGTATATTAAAATTTGTTTTATTTATAATAATGACTTTTGGGCGTGTAATGGACTTGTGGTAGTTGTTGTTTTATCAGTCAGCAGATCATTTTAAACCAGTGATTTCAAGTTCATATATTTCTGTTTGATTAACAATTTATTACTATATAACTACACTAAGAATGTTGTTTATTTTTCCTTTAATATATTTCTGCGACTCAAGTGTTTGTTTTCAATTAGTCCAGTCTGCCGGTCACATGTATTATTTTATTTTACAAGATTGAAATAAGTTCAGCAACATCCTTACACCACAACAATTAATTAGTTTGTTATAGAAATATCAATAAAATGTCACAGTGACGTTTCCATCATAGTTGCCGTTTGAACATAATCAAATCTCCTAACGTTTACATGTTCTAAATTATGCCTAAATTGAATTACGCTTAAGTCGTTTATAGAGGACAATTATCTTTATAAGCCGTTAAAAAATCGAGCCAAAGATATTTATTTTTTGTTATGCCCTGTTAAGCTATCTTTCACGAGGTAACTTTTTCTAAAATTAAAATTTGAAAACAGGTTGAGTCTGGTCATGTATGGACCCCAGTTTGCTTCAACCGTTTATTCAGCAATGTTAGCTGCAACTTTTATTCTACAAGCCTTTTAATATTCTGTTAATTTCACACAAGTATAGCACTATCATGTAAATAAATGGCTGGCATTCAATGAATGGTAACTATTTAGACATGTAAAGAAGGGGTAAAACTGAACATATGGGTCCTTCTTTCTACATGTCTTTGTGGTTTTCTTTGACTTTCTCACAAACAAAGAAAAGCTGCCAAAATATCGGTAATATACCCCGAACGCGTTTGATAAATATATCGTTTCTAAAATTTTATTTAATTCCATAAAAAGTGTAGAAGAAATTGTCTAAACAAATTTTCATCAACGGCAATTACTTTGCGAAAAAAAAATAAAAAACGAAATTTCCCAAATGGTTTTTGAGATGAAGAATGGACAAAGTTAATCTATTGAACAATTAAGATACTATGCACAGCTAGGCTTGGTGACAAACAATCCTATGAATCTCACCCGCAAAAGGCAGCTTTGGAGATTAAGCGCGTTTTAGGGTTCATAACTGTACCTTAACAATTCAAGTAGAAAATGAAGATATATATCGAAAAACAAATACTGCGAACTTTCACTAAAATTTCCCCATTCCCCAGTTGTTTGAGATGAAGCGTTGAATAGCTTAGTTTACTTGTTAAACTGAGCATTAAGGCAGACAAGCTTATTACTCAAAAATGAACATTAGGAGAGCATTACTGTGCCAAAAATAAATAAATAAAAATCAAGACAGCATGTTCAACTAGCAATCCTGTGAAGTTTAAGTGAAATCACTGAAGCGATTTTGGAGATGTAGAGTGGACAAAGATATTTTACTAAACAATAGACCATTAAGGGACCATAACTGTGTCAAAAACATCAAGCAAAATATCAAGAGACTATGCACAACTAGGCTTGGTTACAAACAATCTTGTGAAATTTCAGAAAATCCCCCTATCGGTTTGATAATGAGTGCCGACAAGCTTATATCAATAAAAAATGGTCATTTAGGGGCAATAACTATGCCAAGAAATGCAAGCAGAAAAAACAAAGCCCCATTTTTACCAAATAGGGATGGTGACAAAAAAATCCCATAAAGTTTCACTAAATTTTTTCATAGGTTTTTGAGGGAAAGCGTGGAAAACGTTTTTTTTACTAAAAAAATTGACCCTTAAGGGGGCAAAAAATTTCCCCCAAAAAAACAAGCCCGAATATAAAAAAAGTATGCACAAATTGGCTTGGGGAAATTAAAAATCTTGTGGGGGTTTCACGGGGAAAACCCCTTGTCCCTTTTAAAAAAGGGGGACAAGATTACCAGACGGACGGAAGGACGGACGCACAGTGCGATTAATATATGCAGCGCTTCGGGGCATAACAAGTTACTTCGTAAGTTTTGTAATGGAATAGAAGATTTTTTTTGAAACAAGAGCGATCAGTGATAACATGTGTTGCCTCATGATAGCCATAAATTGGCCAAAATCATTCAACCTAAAAAGTTGTGTAATATGTACAAGAACTTCAGGTAACAATCAATCCTGTAAAGTTTCATTAAAATTGCATTAGTGGTATAAGAAGAATTGTCTGACAAATTCTAAACTTAAATTAAATTCATTTAAGGGCCATAACTCTGACATATATCAATGAACTTAAATATGTTGAAAAGATGCACAACTAGACATGGTACTGATCATTCCTGTAAAGTTTTGATGTATTGCACAAATATTGTCTGAGGGGTAGTACAGACAAGCTTCTGTGTAGTTTGCAACACAAAATACATATTATTCGACCAAATATCAAATATCAAGAGAAGACTTGTGTATTATGCACAAGTACTTGACGTACCGATAAATCCGGTACAGTTTCATTGAAATTGTATAAGTGGTATAAGAGAAGTCCCGACACACTTTATTAGCACTCTTTTCTTTAAAGGGCCATAACTCGGCCAAAATCATTCAAGTGCAAAACCCGCTGGCGATGTGCGCAACTATCTTGGTACTGACCATGCCTGTATGGATGAAATTGCACAAGTATTTTTTTATTAGTTGTTCCGAGAAGTTTCGTGACGGACAGACAGACGAACAAAATGGCTGACTGACAGACAGACAACGGAGAAGGAATTGAGATGAAAACAATTAAAAATTTGAGCAAATGTACATATAAATTGATTGAATAATGACACAAAAAAGAAATTTCTTTCATATCTTAGAGGACTGGTTGCATTCAACGTTTGCCACTTAAACTTTTAAACTTAATAACACTAGCTATTCTAAGACATTTCGAAGCAGTTATATAAATTGTCATATGATAAATTGTTAAACCTTCAAAGTCATAGAAATCTTTATCTTCCTTCTGGAAAAATTCTTCCCGCATGGTTTTTTTAATAAAATTGGGTCCCTTTCCATTCTTTAAGCAGAAAAAATCTATATATTTAAATGCCAAAAATTTCAAATTGTTTTGGGAAAAAAAACCCTTTCCCCAAAACTAAAAGGTTATAATCAGTTTTTAAAAGGGGGTAAAAAAAAATTTCAGTTTGCCCCCTTAAACTAAAAATTGTTTATTTTGGGCCCTGTTTTAGAAAATTGGTTTGGGTCCCTTAAATTTATTTTATATGTAACTGGGTTTTTGTAAACCTGCGGTTTTTCGGGGTTGTTGTAATAAAATCATTTTTAATATATTAGTTTTCAAAAAAATCTATTCTGGCTAACAACAACGGATGGAATGGTAACGTGTAACCGGTTAATCGGGAACTTGTTCGAACGTTTACACAATTTATATCAAAGTATACGGTAGACAAAATATCATTTCATTTTTTTCCGTCGTAAAAAACTTTTCTAGTGACATATGTTTTGAAATATATGCCGTTCGTAAACTTGTCAAATTTAATTAAAATATCCGTGCCTAGGTCTGAAAATTTACTTCAAATTTCTTGATGAGGCTATCAATGTGTTGATGAAATTTGCTTGCACTTGCAAACCACATTGAAGGGCTAATAACTGTGAGATTCAAATTATTAATAAGACTCTAAGATCTACAATATTTTAATTTTATCTTCAGGGTAAATTCCAAGCACTATAAACAAGAGGGCAAAGATGACACGAGATCGCTCAGCTGACCCATCAAACTCATCCAAGCAATTACAAAGACAAGTATACAGACCAAGTTTTATGACAGTTAAGTCATAAATGAAACCTATATAGTGTTAACAAGGCTTTTACATTTTTGAGCGGTGTTACCTCGCTTTTGACACAAGGTAACCCATATTCGATCTCGACCTAGAAATCATCAAAACAAGCTTTTAGACCAATTTCCAAGACATTTGGATCAAAACAGAAGCCACTAGTCAGAGTGTTAACAAGATTTTTCTATTGTTAGCTCCTGTGACCTAGTTTTTCATCCGGGATGACCCATGTTCAAACCCATCCGAGCAATTATCTAGACAAGCACTCTGGCCATACTTGATGATAATTAATGTCAAAAATGTGACCACTAGAAAGTTAACAAGGTTTTTCCATATTTGGGCGGTGTGACCTAGTTTTTGACATCAGGTGACCCATATTTGTACTTGACTTAGAAATCATCAAAACAAACTTTCAGACAAATTTCCAGGATTTTTTTATCAAAACAGTAGCCACTAGAGTGTTAACAATATTTTTCTATTTTTAGCTCCTGTGGCTTAGTTTTTCATCCGAGATGACCCATGTTCAATCCCATCCGAGGAATTACCTAGACAAGCACCCTGACCAAGTTTGATGATGATTGTGGCAAAAATGTGACCGCTAGACTGTTAACAAGGTTTTTCTATTTTTAGCTCCTGTGACCTAGTTTTTGCATTCGAGATAACATATGTTCAAACGCACTCGAGCTGTTACATAGATAAGCATCCAGACCAAGTTTGGTGATGATTGAGGCAAAAATGTGACCGCTTGAGTGTTAATAAGGTTGTTCTATTTTTAGCTCCTTTGACCTAGTTTTTCAAACGAGATGACCCATGTTTAAACTAATCCGAGCTTTTACCTAGATAAAGATCATGACAAAGTTTGATGATGATTAAAGCAAAAATGTGACCGCTAGAGTGTTAACGAACAAGTGTGGACGGACGACGGACATTAAACAATCCTTAAAACTTGCCCTGAGCTAGCTCAGGTGAGCTTAAATGTAGCCACTAGAGTGTTAACAAGATTTGTCTATTTTTAGCTCCTGTGACCTAGTTTTCCATCCGAGATGACCCATGTTCTACTTTATCTAAGCAATTACATAGAGCCACCTCAGATGAGCTAAAACGATGTAATTCTTGTACTAAATAAACTAGAAGGTTTTCTTTCGTCACAGAAACATGTGCCCCCAAAAACTAGGTATTATTCTGATCACACCTGTATATTTTGGTCGAAATCCCACAACCAGTTTGACCGTGAAAGATTGAAAGGATTTAACTATTCAAAGCCCTGGCATACATTTTGTGCAGCGAAACGCAGATTGCTGGCGAAATGCATATCTCGGGACGGTTCATATCAATCATGTTAAGTTTCATTGAAATCCCACAAGAAGTTTGACCTGTGGAAGCCAGTCAAGATTCTTGCGGATTTTTTAGCTCTGGCAGACATTTCGTGCTAGAAGCAGAACATTCGTGCCATATGCAGAGCTTGGTTAAAAGTATCGATTGTGAAGTTTCATTGAAATCGCACCAGCAGTTTGACATTTTGAAACGTGACACGATTTTTCTATTTATAGACCTAACGGCAATTTCGTAAAGGGAAGCCAAACGTGCCGAAAATATGAACAACTAGAAATGGAACTGATCAGTCCTGTGAAGTTTCATTGAAATCCCATTAGCAGTTCAACCTATGAAAGACGGACAAAATTGTTCTATTTTTAAGCTTTGATGGTGCCAAAAGTGCAACGTGGCGGTTATATCCATAACTAGGGCTGGTACTGATAACAATGGTGAAGTTTCATTGAAATCGAACAAGCAGTTTCACCTGTGAAAGCCGGACAAGCTGATTGCCGACCTACAGACAGACAGACAGCAAGAACAATATGTCTCCCAAATGTTTTGGGAGACATGATTATGTTTTCGTTCACTGGTTTGACAATTAAAGTGACATTATGCTCATATTTTCATAGTCAAGTTGAGATGAATTGACTTTATATATCAAAAAATTGACTATCGAAATGGTGTTTGACCAACAGTTGATATTGAAAAATGTTTAGGATAAAATTATAAATCAGCATAAATTTAAAAAGACTGCCCCACTCTTTTTATAAAATAATCGTTAAAGGTAAATTCTAATGGATGTTTACAGAAATTTAGTGTGGATTTGTGCATTATTTATTGTTTATGCGAACTTATTTATTAGATTAAAAGGAATGATGGCAAATGAAAACTTATTTTGATCTTCACCCGTTCACTCACTATAAACCCTTAAATGGGCATAATGTCACTTTAAGGAAGATTGATTGAACATTAATAACACTTTGTAAATCCTAACTAATCTCTCGAGTAGCATAGTCGTAAATCGGAAGATTGGCCGAGGACTGAATGGGAACTCATTGCCATTTTTACTAACAACGCTTCAAAAGCCACGGCTTTCTTGTTCAAATATGACCTTTGTTATAATGATTAAGTGGCTTATCACATTGCATCAGCATTTATGTAATACATGTATGAATAATGGTAAACACATTTACTACCAGTCATTTTTAGTAGTACACGACGACAAAAATTTCTGTATTTAAAAACAAACGTATAATCAAGCTTCAAATGTACAGGCCGACATATATCGACACATAACTTCCAACCTTGACCTTCGATTTGATTGTCTCCGCAAACTCTAGATTATACATTACAAACTAATATGATGGTAAACATTTTACTCATTAATTTAGAATCCAAGGTAAGTAAGAAGACGCAATTCATCCATCTATTTATCAAAACAGAATCTAGGAAAAAGAAACCACAACAACTTTCAGATAACCCTTGCTGAAAAAATATACGGTACAATATATAAAATTATGTGATTTTTTTAATTATGATAAATGTGACTACTTTTTGAATCATGCTTTTTGCTACTTATTAATGTAATACACAAAAGAATAACATGACAATGACAATCAATTACCCTACCTGAATATAGATTTCATAAGCTGTGACATTTCATTTTTAGTCTCATGCCACATTGTTGCACATGCGTATATCATAGGAATATCTCTTAACTTTCTGTTTTTGTAATTACTCGCATGATTGTCCTCTTGTTCCCCTACATTTTCATCTTGGCTGGCAGCATCATCTTCTTTGTTGCCCTCGTTATTAATTTTCGAATTATATTGGGACAACCTGTTAATAGTAAATAAACATGGAACGCATGGAAAAAAATATTTGGTAATTAAACACACTATCACTCACTTCACCCTTGCATAGAATGTAAAAAATATAATCTGCAATATGTGTCAGAAATGCAGGACAAATTATTTCTTTTAGTGAGAAGATCACATGCAGTGCTGTTTCTTTTACCAGATTCGTTAAATCTTAAACTCCTAATGCACAACCTTTTTCGAAAACAAGGGCGAAAAATTCTTGTTTGGTTTTGATCAATAATGTAGACCAATTGAGACTTTGCTGTTTTTACATTATTACAAATATGTTAAGGAATTATCGTACTTGTAATAGACCTTTCCACCTGTTCCATCTGTTATATCCATGTGTACCTTGCGGGTGTGCCGGCGTCTGTTAAGAAGCAGTTGCTGCTCAAAAAGAATTCCGCAATAAAACGGATTCATAAACAATCTGAAAAGTACGCGTGTATGCATATTGTATTTGTAAAGATAAAGAAAAATGCTAAATATGCATTTTCAAAACAGAATTACATTGTAACATTGTCACGATTCACCACAAAATCAAACCAGAGATAACATAAAATTGTGTTTATAGACATATACAATTTTAATATTACCTTTCGGTCTTTGGAAGTCTTTCTATACTTTCTATATTCGGGTAAAATATATGTCTACACAGCCAAAACAAAGATATCCACACAGCAGTGCCACAAATATAGTGCAAGAGCACATTCAAAGTTTCGATTTCTTCTCGGCAATGTCCCTTTTCAGAAGTAAACGGGCTTAGCACACCTCCCATTGAACATTCAACTGCTGCTATAGCTACAGCGGTTGGTGTAGATAGCATGAGAGGAATACAAAACGAAAATCGTTGTAGCTTTAATTTACATGCTGTATATCCAACATAATGTCCGATAAAGGCAGACAATATTAACGTTATTATTGCTCCGCTACGCTTTAAATCACCTTTGCTAAGCTCATCAAACGCTTCCGAAATTGTCACTTTCTCGATACGCTTATGATTATCATCATCGTCAATGTTTTCTACATAATACGCCTTTATAATCCATGAAAGAAGAAGGGTTATGCCGATCTTAATAAAACTTGTACATGTTGAAATGATTGGTCTTGCTTCTTGGAGTTCAAATTTTGCCTTTAATATAAACCTTGTCCAACAAACTCTTAAATTTGTATTCCCGCAAAATCTGTCATCTACAAAATTCTCCCAATATACACAAGAAACAAAAAACATACTTAGTATGAAATAGACAATATTATTAGTTTCTTTGTCTATTCTACTATCGTCGGCAAAATGATCCAACACTAAAACAGCGGGTATATACGCAAATTGCACTACACTTGTTAAAATATTTAGCGCAGAAACAGAAAACTTGAATATGGTTGACTGTTCTGCATTCTCCCCACTGCTTTTTTGGTCTGAAGCACATATTGGAAACAAAACCGAAGGCACTAAAGCTACGCCACCCAATAAAAGAATTCCACGGACCATGTCCAGTTCTGGAAGAATGATGAACGCCAGTGTACAAAGTCCGATAGAATGCAGTGTTTCGACAATCGAGCACTGTAATTGTAAAAACTTTGACTCATTGTACACAAATAATTATACATTTTTAGGAAATAAACATCACTTGGCGCAAAATTATGTTTGAATAACAGTACCCCCTTAAGGTCACTTCTATCCAACAGCAATCTCCTTACAACAGCCAGTTTCATTACCCCCTGCTTACTATACATACCATATAATTATATCTCACCACCGGTATCCTCTAAACTCCGGCCTATAGCCTTTTATTTTTTATAAAACAAAGAGAAAAATACCTCTTAAACAGCCAGCAAACGTTTTTGGTGACTTTGCTGTTTTATCATATCTGAATTTCCCTATGTAATCTTTAATTAAACCTATAGGGGTTTTCCCCAGTTTGTTATATCTCTACACACTACATTTTTCAATAACATTTAAAGTTACCAGAAATTTGTCCATAGGACACGGCTTGTAATGTAACAGTTTTCAAATTACGTCTGGTACATGCGAAATACTCACCAGTAAAATCGTTGATAGGCTAGGAAATTGTAAGTTGTTAAACATCCATTTAAAGACACTGCTTAGAAACGTCAGGCAGTAAGGAATCAGGATGGCGATGGTCAACAAAATATGTCTTGCTGCAGCTTCTTTACTTAGTTCCTATTTTATAAATGGGAAGTGTAATATTACAAATACATGATAGTATTACTATCTATTGCTTTACCTAGACGAGAACACAATATGAACAAAATGTATTACCATTTAGCTCTTGTACGTTTACATGTGCTAGTGAATGTTATCGTCATGGTATAATCTGTTTAATTTCTTTCCATCCGGTTACAAGTAGGTCATACATTACAACAACTCTGCAGAGGTCATATGACGAAATTCCCCAGCTTTCAGTTATGGAGGAAAACGTCAGGTGCCAGGTACCCCTTCTTGTATTATTTCCGGCACGAGCAGGCACCACTACTTAGTAGAAACACCGACGTTCAGAAAGTCAGCTGGATGGTTTCCTTATTTGGAAGAATCCATTGGTTAAGAAAAAGAGGCCAGAACTCAACGACTTTCACCACTTGACTTTTATACACCTTAATTGTCTGTTTAAACGCATGATATAACACTAAACTACCTTAACATCTGACACATAATTATTTTCTGTTCGATCAAGTACTGGTGACACAAGGACAACCAAGCTGAGTTTCTGAGCAACAGCACACCAAAGGAGAGTACAGAACAAGAGTATATAAACTACAACTTTGATCACTTGAAGTCTCCTGTCCTCATCCACGTCACGAAGTTTCCTTTCCCGTGCAATTATCCGACAGACATCCCAAACCCTAAATAAATAGCATTATTACAATAAACGAACAAAGTACATGATCATCAACAGATGCATGACTAGTTTTAATTACATTTATATTTTATCAATAAAATAATTATCCTTTGTGTGTCGAAGATGGAAAACTGCTAAATATTGTCAAAACAATACTGAACAAGAACACCGCTAGGCGGTGCATTACATGCCCGAAAAGTTTTTTTTTAGTAAGGATGGAGCATTTGCATATTTCATGGGACGAACCTTCATATATATTATATATATGTACAATGCTACCACGGACGATCATCCTATGACGTTTGACAGTTGTTAAACTGTTATCAATTTTACGGTCATTCGATATTGACCTTTGACCTTGTAATCCCAATATAGATATGGATCTTTTATTTTATATAGGCAATCATCCTATGAAGTTTGAACACTGTAAGCCAAAAGAGTTAAGGTCATTGTGACCCTGACCTTTAACCCTATGAACCTAAAATCATTAGGGGTCATGTATTGGACATAGCCTTTAAAATTTTACAGCTGTAGGTTGATTAATACTGAAGTTATTAAGGGATATTAAGGTAATAGTGACATTGACCTTCGACCTTGTCACATAGGGGTTTTCTACTCAATATGGACAATCATCCTATGAAGTTTGAATATTGTGGGCCAAATGGTACTTAAGTTTTGCTTTGGAAACAAAATTTTAAACGGGTGAATAAACGAACGTACGGACGGACAGTCGGACGGACAGACGCCAGGCGGTATAACTTAATATGTAAATTCTTTCGGGCAAATAAAAATGATAAATAATGAAGATTTTAACTCGGTATTCTTTTGTTCCGTCCCGTCATATTTGTCCACCGTTTTCCTTTCCGTGTTTTTGACTTCGGTATGGGCAACTGAAAGAGGTGGTCGAGTCGATTCAGTGAATGAATGAACTCTTCCATCATTTGGTAATGTGTCTCCTTGCTAAATAATTAATAAAGAAAATATAATGCATTTCAACATTTTCTGTATTTAAATTAATGTCATTTTCTTGCATATCAGACTGGCGTTTCCTTGAGTTTTACTCATACCGGAAATTTCATCTGGCATAGGGGGTTCCAGTTGAGTCGCGTGCTTTACAATGGCACGTTTAGGATGACGTCATTTTACCGTTATGAATGAAGTTGTAATTTATACGCTGTTGTAAGAAAGTAGTTACGGTTGTAATGATATAAATTTTCATTGAATATAAAGATAAAGAATCTAAAGTATAATGGAATATGGTAGAATATGCAAGAAAAATATCTGACATATGTTTGCGGTTCGGATCGGAATATCCGTCCCTCGGTCACCCGCCCATGGGCGGTTACTCGGCAAGCCTCGTTAGCGCCCAATGGGCGGGTCACCTCGGGAGTAATTTCTTTTATTGCATGGTAATGCTTTATATAACAGCAAACCTCTGAGCAATTCAATTTTACAAAAAAAATTACTTTGTTGATTTTTTATATTTTATATGTGTTTCGTAGATAAGTCTGTATAAAATGTGTTTATATAAATTTGATTGCTCTGTCCTTATTGTTTACATTCCTGCAATATAATTTAATTTATTTCTATCGATTTCGAAAAAAAAACCTCAATGGACATGAAAATTTGAAATTCATACAAAATGACATAGTGATCATGACATTGAGTCAAATTTTTAATACTTCTGCCAAGAAGTTTTAATTTTCTATCAATCTGAACTGATTATATGATAAGTACGGAATATCTCATAATCATTTTAATCATGGACCAATCTTTTCAAGCACAGATATTAATCTTAAATTTCTTGACTTTCTTACTTGAAAACTTTGGACTACGCTGTTCTTACAAGATCCTCGTGCAATCGTTTCAAAGAAAATCGCAGAGGCGCACATATTATTTAAAAGGAGTAAAAAGGATGACAAAGCACGAAACATCAAACGGCTAGCTTTGTTTTAGGTACATACATCAGAAAATGTTCCTCCAGAGTAAGAAAGAGAAGACGTTAATGATGAATCACCCGACGAAGAAAAAGGGGGGTCATTATCATTGCCAGTCACTGATTTAACTGATGTCCCTAAACCTCTCCTTGAAGCGTTTAAAGGACCCAAGGGAGCACCTAAATTTTTCCTGACAGCTCCAAAACCTCCTCTGGAAGAACCTAAATCTCCCTTTGATGTATTACTTGCTATACCTTTCTGTAATCAGAAGAAAATTAACATCACGAACTATAACCGCAAGATTATATATTAATACCAACGTATCCTCATAAAAGATATTAATAGTTAATGACATTTTTTATGTTCCTGTCGTAAACATGTTTAAAACATCACAATAAAAGCTTCGTGCTCTTTATATAATAGCCGGTTTACTGCATCAGTACCTTAAGTCGATAGATCGTTTAACTTAAACAAATTTTAAAGTGCAAGTCACATATCAATAAGGTTATACTAATGTTGAACCCAGTTGATTGGGACATTTTTCTACGTCTTCATACCTCCTTCCCTGCCTCTTGCTTTTGTCGTTCCAATTCTTTCTGTCTCATTCTCTCAGCTTCAATGCGTTTCTCTTCCTTCTTTATTTCTGATATCTTCCTCACACATCTTGTAACTGTAGCAGCAGCACTTCTTTGACGACAACGCAGTATTTGCTCGAACCAATCATTTAGCTCGACAGTCATGAATATCTGATTATGTCCAATGAGTTAAAAACCATAATTATATACATACATACATGCATATATTTAAAAATGATATTGATGATTAAACGCTTAGATCTAATACATGTAAACAAACAAAACATTATGATAGACACAAAACATATCGTCCCAAACAATTAAAGAGGCGGATAATGAACAATGATGAACAAAAAACAAACCATTGATTTTCCACATCTGAAGTCCCTATGGAAACAAGATGGAACTAATCGCAGAACGCTTTGAATAACGTCAGACTGTCTTTCTATCGGGGGAGACGTAAATAAACCATGGTATCTAAAGTCATTTAATAAAGTATTAGACGATGGTAGGAAAAGTATACATAATACAATCATGTCAAAATTAAAATATGAAAGGCACCAAAAGGTTGCTTCCTGCAGAACATTTTTAGTTAAATTGTTTTCTTTACGTATTTGAAGTTATAAGGGTTAAGACGCAAATTTTGATTATCATTAATATATAAAACATATTTATATAAGAACTTTATATCAAAAGAATAAAATTATGCCCCTTGTGGCTAAGGGGTTGCCTTTAAAGGATTTAGATTTAGATCTGCAGACACCGTTTATCCCTGTATGGTTGGTTGTGAGGGGAGACAAAAGGGATTCGAATTACTTGAATCTCTAGTCCGAGCTCATCTCTAGCCCCAGCACGTGAGGTGATTTTAACCCAAGGTGTTGCTTTAAGTTTGGTTTGTAACACCGTAGGTTAGCCATAATACAATCTTTTTCCGTTTCGGCGCCTAAAGACCTTTATTGTGTTGGTGCGCTGTAAAACCGAACAAAACTAACAATCAAAGCAAAACTACTCTATCGCATTAATGTAAATTATATTATAATGGGTTCGTATTGTAAACGCCCAAACAGATTGCACACTGATTTGCTTAAATACAAACCTTGAAAGAAAGTCCGAATAGTGTTTTCGAACGGTTAAACCCATTTTTCTAATCTTTGCAATTTCTGCTAATCCATTGTAATGTAATTGATCCCTGACGACAACCCTGTCAAAATCGTTAGCCGCAAGATTCGAATTGGCTTTGATACACCTATTATTAAACAAAATGATGAAAATGAAAATTACACATTCTGATACAATATGCAATTAACAGTTTGAATGTCAGAAATGATACATGTTCTTCATATGAGATATGGCCTAAATACTGTAACTAAATTGATTAAAGTTCGTTTGAAAAAGTACATCATTAAAATTTTACATTTTTAATTCCTTTTCGGAATTCGTTTAAATCAAATGCAAATAATAAATAATTATCTTATCGATTGGGGTCAGTTCATACACAACATGACAGTAATGGTTATCGGTTGGATAAACAAAAATTGAGAAAGAACCAAACGTCGCCCAAAAGATATTGCGGACCCGGTGTAATGAGGCTTTTTCAAGGTTACAGTTACGTGGATGGTATAGTATACTGACCTTGTACCCTGTCACCAGCTTATGCAAAATCAACATTATCTTTGGAACTTCGGTGGTACTATTAAGTTGATGAAATAACTCAATCAGTGAAATTTAAAAGTTTCCATAATACCCTCACTGTACTGGTGCGATGTTATACCCAATCAAACAGTTAATATGTGGAATTGCAACATTTAATATTAAGAAACAGCAAAGAAAAGCACGCACACGATGTTTACACGAAATGGCCAATCTTGTTTGAAACAGTTCATTCATTTTAGCTCGTAAATTTTTAAATATATAACTTTGATAACTTACCTGACAAAAAATGGGTCGCCGTCACCCAATTTGTGTAACAACTGCTCCAAAGATTTCTAAAAAACACAAGTGCATACAGGTTAATCACACAAAGTAGCGATATCTTAAATTCCGTCAGAGAGAATGTAAAAATGTGATTAATTAATAACTTTGCTCCGCCCTTCGGCCTCTGCTTTTGTTCGATGCCCGGCGACCGGTAAGATGCCTTGAATATGGTCCTGTGTGACTAGGCGTTGTTAAAAGCTGTGTTCTGTGAAATAATCTCTCCTTGGATGTTCAGTTCTATGATCATATTATTCTTAATGATTAAAAACCTTATTAATTCCTTTTAAAAAACCTCTTCTAAATGTTTGATTATTAAATATCTTCCATTTCAACACACTTAAATAATCCTGTTTCATATGGGAGAGTCTAATGTTTAGAAAATTCAAATTATAGCTAAATCGAATGAATTGCATTTTAATTCTTCCATTCGCCCGTATTTTACCTGGAAAAATGAAACAAGCGTCGGGTGTTTTTTTCCAGGAATAATCTGTGTCAATGGTTGTGGCTGTTGTACAGTGCCGAACTTTTTCTTCAAACTTTTGTCTATTTCCATTGCCAGAGCCGCTCCTGTCGGTGTTTGTTTTTGTTTGGGCTTACCTGGAGCCATATTTGGTACTCTGCGTCGCGATGGTCGAACTTGAAAATCTCGTTCCCTTATAAACAAGTATTGCATGTTATTTCCTTCAAACGGTGCTATGTAGCTTAATTACTGTAATAGTTTGGTGTGTAATTGTTTTTTGACACGTATTATAATTTATCACAGATTATATCGGCCATGTCCTTTAATAGGTGACTGGCGATTACAATTTAAGTTCTTTTAAAGTCTTTCTCTTATTATCATTATATCAAATAAAATATTGACTTTGTATTTGATTGAGCTTGTATGCAACGGCCAAAATTGAGTCCTGGAAGGGAAAAGATATATGATTCCTGTATTTATAAACGTTATCTTACATGCCAATGAACTCAAATAGTTTAATATGTGTTTACTTTTGTAATGATACTTACATTGATATTGTTCCAGTTGATCCTCTTTTAATTTTGAAAAGGTCAGCTATGAAGTCATCTTTGCTTTCCTTCATAGTCTGAACAAGTTCATCATTTATTCTGTCTCTGTTCTTCTCTAAAAATCCGACAGCAGTGTACGTAACCTTTATTTTGTAAACATGGTTATTTTATCAATACGACATAGAACATGAGTGATTTGACGTAGTAGGGACTTTATTATTTACAAAACAGACACTTTGCTTAAAATATAAGAAACAATGCGTACTTTTTATTGTCGAGTCAATGACAGAACAAAGAATCAAAAGCAATTTTTAAAGATGGTGCAATATAAGATTTGACATATCATCTACCTTTCCTGTATTATTAAGAATCAAACCATAATAAAGTTCAGAAAATATCGGCATAATTCAGCAATCTTGGTGGTGTAATACAAACGTCTTTATCACTAACAGCCTCAGATATTGTGTCAAACTGCTGATTTTTTTTAACAAAGAATTAAAGTCTAAACTTAATTATAATAACCAATTCTATAAAAATTATGTATGATTGACAATATTAACATTATATTAAGGTAGTATGCCACTAATGGGCTCGATTCAACACACAGATAAACCAAGTGGTTTTTAAGGTACACCATCTATCTCATCTGATTACAAATGTTTAATCCCCTTGTGATTGAGAGTTGTTTTTAAGGCGTGAGGCAGCAGAATAGCAGACACGGTTTATCTTTCCGTGATTGTTATAGGCAACTAAATGTGTTCGAATAACGGGAGTCTTTGTATGGCTAAGCTCCAGCAGGTTAAATGGTTTGACCCCTAGTGTTTGAGATTGCTAAACCCGCGATAAGCCAAAACCATCATTCCAGTTGCGGCGCCATATGACTTTAATCGTGTTGCTGCGCCGTAAAAACCAAATAAACAATACAAATTTTAAGGAATTTCAACGTCCATCGAACGAAATTTGCCAAATTTATAAGGGGTGGACTACATTAAATATGATATTCATTTTTTACAAATTACGACATGACACTTCGCAACAACGTACCAAATCCGCAAAATGCTGTATACAAAACACAGGATGGTCTCCAGGTGGTTGTATGAACAGATTGTGTTCGCCAAATTTCCGTTTTAAGTGATCAACAAATCCACTATCAGAAGAATGTTGTATGTTGGAATTCTCGTCCAGTATTGCCAGAATACCAGACTTTGGCTGTCAATAGAAATATGTATGCAATAATCACGTAAGTTTAGTAACCCACAATGATTTTATGCAATCCAATAATGGAGTTAAATTTCTCCACGTGACTTAAGGTCGTAAACGCATTCTTTATTATTCTCATTTCTACGATGATGATGATTATTATTATTATCATTTTTGTTGTTGTTGTTGTTGTCGTCGTTGTTATTATCAATAATATTTTTATTTCACAAAATATTATAACTTGAGTAGACAGTCTATGTTTTAACAGTTTAAAAGGAGCTACACAGATGTTGATAAGCCTATACTAATTCAATTTCAAAATAAGCCTATACTAATTCAATTTTAAAATCTTTCATAAATCAACTGGAAAAAAATCTGATAAATATGAAAAAAGAAATATACTCAGTAAAACTCGAAATCTATATAAAGAGGTGTTTATAGCCCGCTTAAAGTTAAAAATGTTTAAACTGTTTCTTTTTTACGTCATTTGTTGCAATAGTAATTCTTATTCTTGGAAAAATAAAAACGAGTAAGTAAATGGCCTGAAAGTTTGCAGACAATTTGTTGGTATACATACACCTATGACAAATGCTATAATAATGTTAAAAATGTAAATAATAAATATACATTTAGTCACGCTTCGTAAAGGCTACAAATGCATGATTTTATAATAAAAGCTAATGAATTTTTAAGTACGGTTCACAAGTTTACCGTTTCAAACATTGTCAATAAATCGTCATTGTTTTTTAATTGTATTCCACCAAGATGCACTCCCTCAGCTTCGTATATTTTTAGCTCCATCGTAAAGATCTTTACGTTCATGAAATTTTGCAGTTTCTCGTTCACCAGATTTATACACATCTGTTCGAAGCTATTATTCTGAAGCTTTTCAAAGCCGGCAATATCCAAAATTCCTATGCTAGCAGATATCTTTGATCTGAAGAAATGTGTATAGTTTATGAATTTTAAATTATCTGTATTTTATCGGATCTAAACGTCTTTAAAATGCATTTCCTATATAAAGTAAATGATGCATGTAAATGAAATGCTAAACTAACATAAATGGCACTCATATCAATTAACAATTAAATCAAAATCAACAATTTACATCAATCCTATTTCAATACAATTTCCAGATGTAATTTATATACGAGTAATCATTAAAAAATGATCCTAACATATACCTTAAAATAACAACATTTATAGTGACTTCATGATATCTTCAAATCAATATCATTGTAGAGTAGAAAACTGTTTAATTATCATGTCCATTTGATGATACATTTCTTGTTTGCGTCTTTGAAAATGAAACTGAAAAGACAAACGTCTTACCCAAGTCTGTTCGGCTGAAGATCGTCGTTTATCTTTCTAACCAACCAGCCAAACATTCTTTCATACAACATCTTAGCAAGCGCATCACGTCCGTCATTTGCCTGTTTTGTTGTTTTATGTGTTGCCACATAGTCATCTAATTAATAATAATAATAATAATAATAATAATAATAATAATAATAATAATGATAATAATGATAATAATAATAATATAATACAAATGTAGTCTGTAAAAAGCGCGCTCGAGTATTCTCAGTGCTTGTTAGTAAGAAAAGGGAAATTAATCTATTATACAAATACCTCAGAGTTATTTAACCTGTGTCTATCATGAAAAATAATCACAGAGATAAAAATGGGTGAAGTTTCAACCAACATTATTCAATAGTTTTGGAGATACTATCTTGCACGCAAAAAAGCAACATTTGACGCCGTCGTAAGAGTCACAGTTTTCGATTAGTCCAGCTAAAATATGTTTTTGTCTCTTTGGCATCATTCAATTACTGGAAGAATCTGAAAAATCTTCTATGGATTATGCGTTAAAATATCAATTTCGTAAGAGTTTTGTTGCATCAATGCTGTTCTGGAAGCAGACTGAGACGCATCTAATATAAGTAGTGTAATTGTGTTTCATAATTAATCAAAGAATGTTTAAGACAATCCTTATACTGTCTGAGGAATATTTGGCCAATAAATGTTGATCATCAAATGAAGAATTATATATAAAAAAGAACAAGTATAGCCTATATGATGTACTAATGAAAATCATATGATCAACAAGTTTTCTTGGAAGGAACTATAGAAACATACAAAATAATCTTTTGCTATAAAAATGAGACGTTCAAAATTCTTTTAAACAATTGATATTTCAGGATATAAACGTCAAGTGCGTCCATGGCCGAGTGGTTAAGGTCGCATACTTCAAACCACATGTATCTCACCAATACTGGCATGAAAAACCAACCAATAAAGGTTTTGATTTAAATTATGACAATAAGGTATCCAGCTAGTTTTATGAATAGTGGTATGGTTCTGCTCATGTGCATGGTCGTGCCTCAAACAATTTTCGGTTTTCCACAACCAGTTAACTTAAAATGTCGCTATGTGACCCCTAACAGTGTTGTTGTAGAAACAAAACCTCACCTCTAACTTTCCGTTTGCTTGTAATAAGCGCCTCGCCGAAAGAGATTTCATCCAGATCTAGCAATATAGTGGCTGCAAAAAAAACAACAACAAAAAACGATGATTCAATCAAATAAGTGGACATTCTCAAAGTAATTAAGTGTTATCAATCATTCGTATTTTCAGTCATATTTGTTCATAAGATGATGACTTGTTTTACAATGTAGTATATAGGCTATGTCAGATTTCTTTTTTGATAAATGGAAACAAAGTCAATGTTAGATAATCGCAGGAGAAAGCGCGATAAAAGTATAAAGTGGTATCATTACCATTAGGAGTATATCAAATAAACTGATTTTAACTGTGAATTACACTATTGCAAAATAATTTGTAGATAAAGTATGCATATTAAATATATTGTAACATAGTCTAGGGTATTTCAGGGCTATTATGGCAAGATCTAGGCCATTATACAATTTCGGCCGCCATGCTAATCGGCATTTTTTTTCGATATTGGGAGAGTAAATGAGCGCACGTGCAAACTGACGTAATCAACTCTCAGTGACTTTCAAGATGGCTGCTGTCGTTGAATAAACTGTAGTCACTTGCAAACAAATTTTAAGTTTAAATGATATAAACAATCACAATCAACAAAGCTTAACATTGAAGATTTATAAACTCTAGAAAAGAATACAATAACTCGACCTAAGACAATGCATGACCCTCAGAACTTCCAAATATGTTTAAACAGTCGAAAAAAAGATCGGATCGATGGCAAATAGAGCTAGACATTACTCTCGGAAACCGTTCTTGAAGGCACAAAAGTTCATAAAAAAATTTTAAACTGGCACTAAATGTTATTCTTGCAAAATTATATAGAATATTTATCAATATAAACAACAATAAAACAACACTGTCTCCTGTTTTTTTTTGTTTTGTCATGTTTTCAAAGGCAATTGGAGTGTTAAACTGAATGACAGATATTTGTTTACATTGACAATTGTCCGTTTCTAGAAAGGGCGACAACCAAGATTAGCGGCGATGTCTAGATCCCGTATTTTGCGACACAGGTATTAAAGAGCCTGCGGCCCTCAGGCCCTTATGTACATATTCGGGCCATTATCGCATAATGGCGATCAGCAACCAACTTTTAACCTCTTAATACTTACAATAAGCAAATGGAGCAACACCCTTTATTTGCGCTGCCCCTCTGTTGTCTTCTTCAAACTCTATTTCCGTAATAAGTACAACTGCTGCTAACATTCTAATGAGAACTTCCCTGTCCTGAAAAAGGTATTTCTTTCTTAATTAAAAGGCTCTTTCCACGATATTTGGTTAATTTTTTGCTTGCAATGATTAAGACCTGTTATGGCCATTATGGGGCGGGCATTCATGCAAGTCGCCATTTTTGTAGTTATTGGTTCGCATCAACAGGCTCTCAGATATTTGTGTTTACTATTTTATTTGTCCATGGACCCGATCTTTATCAACTAATCTTAAAATTAAATTTGGAATCATTTCTAATATGAAAAGTCGATGAATTCACGCATGTCATATAATAATGAATGAGAACTGGAGCAAATTGTACGCCTCAATCGCCGGGAAGGCAGTATAAATGACAAAACAAAAACGAAATTCGGTACCTAGCCCTTTATTTCTGACATACGTATCTTCTACAGGAAATGACTGATTATTTTGTAGTACACAGGGGGTATATATTTATTTTATTGCTGTACATGAATTTAAAAGCTATATAAAGGTAATTTTAACATTGTAAAAGTCCGAAAATATATTTTTAGAAGAGGTATGAAACTAAACGAAAAGGTCATTCGTGTCGCGCTATGGAAATAAATAATGAATATTCAACAATAAACTGCACCCTTTATAAATTTATATAAAAAAAATGAAGGCCATTTTTACAAATTGTTAAATCATAGTATTATCATTTTAAAATTGTCTTTTCCTCAAATTCTGCCGGTTTTCTTTTTTACGGTCCTGCACTTTTCTACCATAAATATTTAAATCTGGCTTCCATTACTGTATATATCGCTTTTATTTTGACGTTGTGCGACAGTAAACATGCCTAGCAGTAGTGTACTATAAAATCTATTCGCTATTCAAGTCTCTTTTGCTATACCCAACCCTGATTTCCCGAATTTTTGCTGTTCTATATTTTGTTTGAAGGCAATCGGTTTTATTGTGGTTATGTGGAATTTTGATTTGCCAATTAGTGACATCTTAACAACAGAAACTTTCGTCGTCAGTTTTAACATGAGTTTTTATGAATTTATTGAAAGGAATGTTAACACACTGGCGGGTCAGACGGGGGTTTTGATGCAATTCAACAAAATAGTAGATTCACCTCCAAATAACTCAATCAACAACAGATCTTCATTTATCACCAATGACAAGTAGCTTTTATATCTTTGGACTCGCATGAGCGTTATGTTAGTGAATTACCTGATAACAGTCTTCCATTATCTTGATAAATAATGTTTCATCATATAAACTTGCCATACAAATCTATTCATGATTTTAATGTACAATAATTTTGTTAACGCTTATAAAAAAAAATCCTGAGTTTGAAATTCATCCCGAATTTTTCATTCCAGTGTGTGTTCAAGTTTAAATAATTACATGAATCTCGGACTTAAAATATAACTAATGTATCTTAAGACGAACGTATTAACAGAAACCTTTTATTTCATTTGACAGGTAAAACATGTATTTAATATTATTATATTAGTCCTTTTTGTTACTATTTTTATATACTGTTTGCATATTTGTTACAAAAACAATAATAATAATAATAATAATAATAATGATAATAATAATAATAATAATAAAAGCAGACTTTGATCATTTTTACTACTGTTTTGTATGTTCCAAAGAAAATACATTTATTTTTCTATAACTTTTAGCAAGCCTACCAAAGTTCAAGATGAACAATGTCTTTCGTCCGCCCATTCATAGATTACATACAATTCTGTTAAAATCAAACTAACCATTGAAAAAGTTTATAAGAATATCTGGTCATCAGATGTCTAGTTCATCTTCACTTCCTGCATTTCTTGCTCGGACGCCCTTTGATGCTTTGCTTGAATGCTTTTCTTGTTATATGATATACCATTTGCCGCGAAACATGTAAGTCCGTAAATGTTGTTGTTTTGGCTTATAACATATGTATTTTTATATTTCTTACCATGATTAGCTGATGAAATTTGTAGAAAATGAGTTGCATTAAAAGTCAAAAAGATATTGTGCATGCTTTGATATTTTATAATCTAATAAATTTACTGACTACAGTAGTGACACAAACAGACCAAAGTTTCACTACTGTCAGGTCACATAACAAGTCTTGTAAGTGTTGTTTGTATTGGAATTATTTTTCTTACCAGGTAGGCATCAGTGAAAGCATATTTTTTTTGGATTTATTATCTGGCCCCTCTCTCTCATGGACAATGCATGCGATAAGTATGTTTATGCAAATTAAAATGATTTACAAAAGATCCGGAATAATGTACAATAGTTCTTAATTTAAATAGAAAATGACCTGTGTGTAGGAATGATTTGGTAAGGTATCTGCTATGAGCTGATTATTTTGCGCGCGGGGCTTCTCAATTGCTGTATTGCAGCAACATTAGTACTTGTAACATAAACAGGTCACATTGGACAGGGCAAAATGAACTTAAATAAATATGAATAAAGTACTATTAAATTAGGCGGATGTGTCTTTAACACATAAGCACGATGTTTTTGACACTGAATGTGAAATAAAAAAGACACTTGCAAACAAAAAGGTTAATCTAATATTGTATGGCTTAAGGAATATTAAAAGGGTAATAAATGTATGCATGAATTATTTTATGATCTTATTCTGATTAAACTTATGTGAAGACTTTGACAATTATCAAATGAATACATGTGTTTACTTACAACTTTCATTTTTTGCAATATGTCCATACTGTCATTATACATCTTCTTAAAGCGTTCTGTTTCACCAAGGTTATACTGACCGCTCTGCATTATTCTAATTGTTAGATGATAAAAAAATTGAAATTACACACGCAAACGTAGAAGGCAATCTTGCAATACAATGAACATTTTAAAGGAATATTGAAGAATAATAGATAATATAGTAATAGAATATCGAAGAAAGAAGTATTTGTGCTTATTTTTTAAACATTACTGACTTTTCTTTTTACCAAAAGACCAGTACCCTCAGCAATTTTGTTGTCTTATTGCTTTAGTATGCAAATGAACCCAATGAAACGCCTTTAGGTAAGACGTAACGGCAATACTGACTATATTATGTCGATAAGAAAAACGTTGAAAGTACAGAATGATTGAAACAAAAATCGATCCTTTGAAACAATTTTTACGAATTCCGGGTATTTCATGATCAAACTTCCTAGCAAACCACTCAACCAAACTATATAAATTATTCACCTGTAACTTTCTACTGGGTCATTCAGAAAGAGGTCATCAAGGACTTCTTGTGTGCATCCAGCAAACATTGCGTAGAATATGTGAAAGTTTCCCTCTCCGTTATTTTGATGAACTACCCTGGATTTCTCTAACATGTAGTCTCTGACGACCGCTGATTTTAATAGAGGAAAATATAAAGTGCATAACTTTTCTTTTTCTTTTGCGTTGTATTTTTTTTATTAAGATCTACTGCATCGATATCATTGTTATATTTCTTGAAAAGTGAAAATATATTTATAAATAAACTGTACCAATTGACGTCATTAACGATAATATAAATGTTACATTAAACAATGAAAATTCATTTTCAAAAATGTTGATTATATAAAGATCTACAGATTAAAAGAATACAACGATTCACTAATATGCAGACAGCTGGGGAGGAGGGGGAGGAGAAGGTGATTCAGTATAATAAAATATTTCAAATATTTAAAATTTCTATCAAAGTTATCAAGAAGAGATTTAGAAGAAGAGAGAACGCAGCTCCCGACTAAACCCAGTCAAACTACAAACTAACAGGACATCTACAAGATCAACTAACCAAAAAATGGGAGTTTGCACAAGTGCGGAAAAGGAAGGAGAGGGACCAAATAAATCAATTAGGTCACAGTGATTATAAATGACGTCATAATGACAATAACTAATATCGTAATAATCACCTCCAGCGAGTTCGCCATCTTCTTTGAAGCTGATTTCCAGGTATTTAGCGTATCTACTGGAGTTGTCGTTCATTATTGTTTTGGCATTTCCAAAAGCCTCCAAAAGTGGGTTGATCTAGAAAATATTTTTGAAGGGCGAAATTTTATCTTAATCATACAAGTTTAATTATATTACAATGGTAATCGAGATGCGGTTGTTTTTCATTTAATTTTAATGCTACAGGTCGAGTCACATTATTTTTCGCATTTTCAAGCAGTTAAGGGTCAGACTGAATATCATAATATGTTGTGTTTTTTCTTCCTTCTGTAATAGTAGTTCATAATGTATTTCAATCGTTGTTATATACGTAACATCCTTATGGGTATGCTGCAATAGGACTTTATATCCACCAAAGCCCCTCAATTTTATGGGCTCGAATCCCGCAAGAGACTTTTAGTTATTTTATGCAAGGGCGCGATCCATTTAGCCTACGAAATGCCTGTGGTATTACTCAGATGCATGTGTGTCCGTGAAATAATACATGGAGGGTTATCTGATGCCTTCCTTCACCAGTAAAGCTGGTAAGTCATTATATGAACTTCACTGTGCTGTGTGCTGGTGCGACAAAAAGCCTAACCAAAAGCAAGAGAATAAAAGATAATAATACCCTTGCTCAAAGACCAGTACATAGATTTTCGTGTATTTACCTTGACGATTTTTTCATGTAAAATCATATCTCCTTTCTGACACATGTGTACGATATGTTTGACCATATATTTTGTGCTCTCTGTCTTGCCGGCTCCACTTTCCCCAGAAACAATGATGACCTATATACATGTATACAGGAAAGTACAATTATTAAAAAACTTATTGCATAGTGTATTTTTTTTTACTTTTTATATAACATGTTTGATGTCTGACAAGAGTAAAGCTACATGATTTTAAATAGTTAATAAAATTGACTTTACTCGACTATAATTTACGTTATATTTGTAGCTATCGAAATCCTTAATGTTGATTACATTCTTATCAAATTATTTATCGATTTAACACAAAAATAGCAAAATATATTTTAAGGTACCGCCATTAGCGGAGGCACAATGCTATCATAACAAAATGTCAAGTTATCATCACCTTGAGGGCAAAGTAGGTTTTATTTTTCATTTCTTATTGCGAAATATTCGTAAATAAGGCATATCTACGTATTCTATTTGCTGTTTTCTTAATTGGGTTTATTCAGTATATTTTAAAACATAGTGGTTATCATATACCTGATTTGTGTCATTTTCACGCATGCGTCTGTAGGCTGCTGCGGCGACTTGAAAAATATGTGGCTCTAAATCTGTTCCGAATTTGTGAGTATTGTATTTATCATGGATCTATAAAACAATGATTTTATATAATCTGCATCGCTTATTATAAACATCGTATACAATGTTCTTAAGCTGTTTTAAGTGTTTTGCCTTGGCAAAGTTAAGTCAGAGTCCTATTGCTATAAAAGTGTCCTGAAAAGAAAGTGACGCCTATTGAAAATATGGTTCAAGGAACGAATTGCTATTGTTAAGGTATTAAGTTAAGTGAGACATAATGAACAATATTTACTGCATAATACTATCATTAATGTTGTGGATAAAGGGTATAACAACCATGTTGTGTAAGCTGTCACAGTTTTATTTGCACAACGCATTGCGATATTACAAGTACTTCCTTCTTCCGGTCACTGTATCCTTCATGGTACCCTACTAGTATATGAACAAGGTTAGCTTTTAAAAAAGCTAGTAGCGACTCGCTTCGTAATTTCATTCCAGGGGTGTGTTTAAATGTAAAAATGACAGTTCTGTACCTGAAGAGACTTCACCGATCATCAAAATAAAAGTGACATATAAAGTTACGGAAGCCAGTTCTCTCAGTGTAACAAAGGGGAATAAGAGTATATATGAAGATGCATGTAAACAGATAGAATGAAGTCCCTATGTCTATGCACATTTACTATATGGCCTGTTGACCTTGACCAAAAAATGTTAGATAGGTAGAATTCATAAAGATGTCTCTTTATACAAAGTTAAGTTGTAATATGTTATTTAGTATTGGAATGAGTGACAGACACAAGTCCTATACAGGAATATATTACTGAAGAATTCTCTTAGGTGTGGGCGAATTTAGATTCATGGGGCATGATTATTTGATTTGTACAAGTTCTCAAGTCTCGTAAATCCCGTTCAAAATAGATCGGGAGAGACCGGAAGCGACCGGACCGGAGAATAGTATATCCCGGTAAATACATACACAAAATACCGGAAAAGATAAAATTACCGGAAAAAAAGAAAAAGAAAATATGCACAGAACCAGGTGTACACTTATGTTAATTAACCAATTAATTGTTAATTATTTAACTTACTTAAGAGAAAACAGGAGAAATCGCTAAATCAAAAGTCAGTGTAAATATGATTTATTGAAAAGAATTCATGAAAACAAATATTTTATCGTCATTATTATCTTTGCGCTCAAAGCAATACTTGTTCCTTTTTAAAAATGGCGTGAAAATTGAAGGTTTTTTTTGACGCTATGTAAGATCAAATTTGATTGGCTTAATTATTTTGGATTCCAGCCCAGACAGATACATTTTGTAGAAAGCTGGAAACCAAGCTTAGATTAAATTTTTGGATGGATTTGGAGTTTTAGGTTGTTTCTAAGTAAAATCCTAACGTAATACCAGCTCGCCATGGCGAGCCGGCATAATCTTATCTGTCTCGCTAAAACAGGAAGTGCAATAATTTATCCACTGTGTTTGTTAACACTGTTTTTTACCATTGTGTTTTAAATACAGTTATCGACAAACTAGTAATCATGAAATTATAGTAATTATGATTGATTAGTAGATTGTGAACAGATATCATGCAATTGAGAAATTGTTAAATGGCATCAAAGTATTTGTGAAATATGAAGAAATATTGTATAAATTTGATCATTTGATTCGTTTGTCCGAAACTAGATGTATATTATTCACACGGATTGGTGTAAATCGTTTGTAAATGAAAAGTGTGAATATAAAATCGATCTATCCTTACATGATTACTTAAACAACTTACATTTATTATGAAATATTCATAATTTTTAAGACATGCTCGGTTATCTTGAGTTGTTTCAACTTCCTTACATTTCTGGAAGCTTTTGCCACCAGTATAGTGCTAGGCAAGCCTGCAGTTCCGTTCTGTCTGACAAGGAATATAACTGTTGGCTTACTTTAAATCTTCATCTTCATATCCCCAGAATTGATAATCGACAGTTCCAGAATATGGAAACTTAGCAAGTCCATTTAAGAAATTCAGCAGCATAAGGTAAAAAGGCGCGGTAAAATTAACTTAAATATTACATACCTTATCGTCATAAATCTTCAGCTGCTTGCAGGGGTTGACAGCAATTAATATTTCACTGATATTCGTCTGAAAGAATAAAAATAACAAGGTGAAAGGTCAACAGACCGGTAAGCAGAGTCGAGTAGACAACAACAGGGCGTATACAAAGCCTTTCTTTCCTAAAATATGACAAGGGTTTATTACATAATCTGAGTTTTGGAATGGATCTCAAAACACTTAACATGACATCTACGGTAATATAAAAAATCTTTAGTTTTGCAAGGGGTGTCCAAACGCCTTTCACGAAATTTACAAGTGAATCAACATCTTTTGTTTTGAAAAGGTATGATAGGTATTAAACCTCAATCGTGAAACATGGTAGGATAACGTGGATGAATCTAAATCCACGTGGCTACATCATATAATTTTTCTGATCAGAGTTTCTACTACATACTGAATAATTGTGATTTTTATGAAAGAAAAGTTCAAGAATTTTTTGAACAGCAATTTAAGTTATTTGTTTCTCGTAGAAAGAACTTATATCATTTATTCTGCTAACATTTTGTAAATATTTGAATTGCACTTTGGTAACAGGAATTTTTGTATACTTATCAAAGAAACATACTGGCATGTTTGGTATTAAAATTTGCAGCAATATAATTGATACGACTGTTTACATTCAAACTGAAATTTGATCATTATTATAACATTGGCTCAGAGGTGAAAATATAAAGTTGCAGATTTGTGTTTTTTGCAAATGGGTATTTTCTTGTATGTTTGTTTTTTTCTCCCCCTTTTTGGGGGGGGGGGGGGCGAGGGGGGGGACAGTTTTGATACGAAAGGTTTTTGAACGGAATATCATTCAAACCGAATTCCATATGACGTTACGTCAATCAATGGAGTCTCAATCATTTTTGGTCATCCATGAACAAGATGGACGCAAAAAATATCTATTAATTGTCACGTTACTAGACAAATCAGCTTTAAAATATAAAAATTCTGAAACTGTTACTTTAAAATTTCCCCTTTTTTATTTTAAGACTACAAAAGAACTCAATGTACAAGCATTGCATAGTGAATATTCATTCATATCTTATTAAAAAAAAGTTTAAGTAATTTTTTATCATTGCCAAAATCCCGATATAGATTAACCTTTAAAAATCGGGTTCAAGTTACGAGATAAGAACACGAGGCGTTTTAAAGACTCTCCCTTACTGTTATTTAATAAAGGGATTTGCATTACATAATCACTGAAATGATTTTGAAGGTTATTATAATTCAATGTATATATATTATAGTATACTTATAGTGTATTAAAGTTAATGTTGCCAGAAAAAGAATAAAAAGGATAAAAGGAGAATATATTTAAGGATTGAATATCAAACGATAGCAGGCAAACTATCATGCGTTCATTCGACACTTGTAAGGCCTTTTCAAAGTCACGCTGCATGTGCTGTTGTATCTGTTAAATGAAGTATCGCTGTCAATGTGCATTGTTGCGTTTTGAAAACTGATAACAATGAATCTTTATTTTCCAATTTAGAACTGAACAGTAAATATTCTATTTGTATTTGAAAGATGACCCTATCGATGATTCCTTTTCTTTTCATTAACTTAAGCAATATGATCATATTTCTCAAGTATTTTGTTTAAATCTAAAAACAGCTGCCAGAAAACGGCCAATCTTTTCTAATGTCAAACGTACTTTTTGTTTTTGTTTTAATTGATATTTAGTAAATTCTGACTTACTGAGTTATCCGTTATGTTATTTTTTTATTTTCGAACTGACTTAAGGGTTTAGTCACTATTTTGGAAATAAGTGCAACAGGTTGACTTATATATTGCGAACAGCAGTGCACTGTGGAGTAACAACGGGAATATTGTGTTGTTTTTACCGGGGTTCAGCTCTTGAAAAAAAGTCCCCACTTACCAAGTTTTGCAAATTGATTGAATATTTCTTAAATCAGTTAATGTTAAACTATAAAGTGATTCACAATATTATACAAAATTCAACTCCTGTATTCTAAAATAACGAAAAATGTTATGGATGAAAGTTGCAATTTTTGTTCTTCAGAAGGCCAGTAAGATACTTCTAGAAATAATATTTAAAGCATTTTGTAAATATTTTTTTAAACATTTGTATTACAAGACCCGACAAAATATTGTAAAGGTAAAGCAAAAAGTAACATTATTTTCAATTCATTTATTGTTTTGTTACATGCTTCATTGTGTTATGTTGTTTTAGCTTAGGTGAAGAGTCCGAACAAAACTTAAAAAAATAAAATCATTAAAGGGCCATAACTTTAAAAAGAAATCATTGACCCTTTAGCACAACTTTACTTATTACTGATCCTTCCGGCAAAGTTTGGATGAAATTGCACTAGTAGTTTCTGAGTCGGGACAAGCTTCAGTGTAGCTTGCAACACAACGAAACACATTCCTTTTTTTCAAATTCAAATTCTTTATTTCTCTCAGAGCATCATACATGATAGAAACATAAGGTATATAAGTAATTAACATTTGTAAAACGGCAATACGTACATGGCAAGTCATTTACAGAGAACAATCACAATACATAAAAAATATTTTTTATTTTCTTCTTTCGTTCAGTAGGGAAGTAATTTATTTAGTGTAATGATTCTTCAGCATAATTAATATGTATAAATTTAAATAATGTTTGACCACGTGTTCGTTATAGTATGAAAATAACATAAAATGATGTCTATTTCATTAATCCTCTTTTGACACCTGCCATGCATTATATTGGGCAAACGAAGTATTTGTTTTTATAAGAGATTTAAACTGATTGTAAAGTTTAATGTGTCGACTGAATTTTAACACATTTTTGCAGGGTTCATTTATTTCCTCATTTCATGGGCCTTAAGTTACGCGGTCTCGCGTGGGGTTTTAGTTACTCACAGAAAGTGTTAATGGATTTATTTCTACTGGAATTGAGCAGAGTTCTAAAGTTTGGATGAATCTTTATCAAGAAGGGGCGGCGAAATCAATTGTCCGTATTGCCACAGCCTGTACGGACAAGTGGAAATTTTCTAAAATTTACTATATAAGTATCATACGGACAAGTAAGGAAATGCTTCAAGTAAAAACGGACAAGTTAGTCAAAATCAGATTTTGCCGGCCCTGAATTCAAGTGATTTTGGATACATTGTACTATGAAATTTGTTGCAATGGCTGGATATACCGAAAGCTAGTGTTGCAGTGCTGTTGTCATAAAGGAAAACGTAAGTGTTAACAATTAATTGTTAATATCATAGATATGAGCTTGGTTTGATTTTCAATAAATTGAAAGTTTTTAAGCTTTTTCTTATCTCTGTGGTACCGATTTGATTTGCGGTCGTTTGCTAATAGGTATTTCATAAACGGGAATGGCTAGATACTTGGGGTTGGTCTCATTTGGAAGCTTGTGATAAAAGTTTTTTTAATTATCTGGACAATTGTTTTTACAGCGTCCCGGTAAATGAACCCCTTGCTCATAGACTCGAAGCTGGAGTTTCCTGCTTTCGCTTAAATAATAGTATATTTTTAAGTGGGCTCATATTTCACTTTTTTGTTGACACATTTAAGAAGAACACAGATATTTTTTTTGAAAACTCACGCCTCTCGTTCAAGATTCACGCTCACGCTAAACGTTCGCGCTCCCGTATGAATGGAATACCGGCCTTATTGTATCTTTTGTTTATGTTTTTGTCTTCTTATTTATTTAAGTTATATTTTTTCAAAACTCGATCAATGTATATCCGTGTAGGATTGTTATAGGCTCCCAATGATCGGAGCTGTTACAAAAAGAAAATTATATTAAACCCGAGGAAACTTTTTCCTCCGACGAAGTGAAAAACATTTTGTTTAATATCAAACTTCCAAACATGGAAACGCTCTACCCTTCGAAATTCTTGAAAAGGCGTTTAAGAAAAATAAAAATTTAAATGTTGATGCTTCCAATCAAAGACGCCGCCAAATGATGTGAACAGTCACATGCAATCTTGAAAATCGTTTTTTATAACAGTTGAATATCCGAAGTACTAATCAATTTTCTCTATGTTCTTAGTAAGTGCACGTTGTTTAATAATTAAGTTGCATATTTTTGTGAAAAAAGTAATGGCATGTCTGAAATTCTGAAATGTTTGTCTGTTGCGACAAAGATAGAAAGGTCTATTTTTAGATAACAAGTAAAATTTAAATGATTGATGTACTTAAAATGAATTGAAGTCTAAGACATAGGTAAAGAAAAATATCTTCGTTGCGCCGAGAATATGTGCAGTTAAATATTAATGTTAATTGCATGATGTTCGAATGATTTTGCGGACGAACTGATCTGTTATTTTACAAAAAGCAAAAATATGTCTGTAATGTCAAATTATAGTTATGAATAAATTGTTTCGTATAATCAATTGTTACGTATTGTTTTCTCAATTATGAAAAAATAATTTACTTGATTAAACACAAGCCTGGTATCTAGGTATAGAACCACAGAATGTAAAAAAATCTAGAAAGCAATTATCACAGAATCCTTCAAAATAACCTAATAGATTGTAAATATTTGTGATACATTTTAAAATGAACGTACTTTTTCACCCAGTTAATCTGTCTAATAACTCAACTGTTAACTATTTTCATGAATTAGCACACGTTTTGCCTATTTGCAAAAAAAAATTCCGTATCGCCAAAAAATATCCGTTGCGTATTTTAAGTCATACCGCTTGTTCCCTGTCCGAATTTGGTTCCCGTCACTAGACTCTAAAACTTGATGATTGATCTAAGCGTACTTTCTTAACGTTTAAGAGAAAGAACCTCCTCTCTGATAGTTGGTGTGGTTTAGGCTTTGTAACTTGCAACTTAATGTTGTTGGGAAATGATATTGAGTTGTCAGGGTTCTCTTCCCTCAGTCATTCGAAGATTCGATGCTAGCATACAGAGCATCATATTAAATTTTGCGACAACTTAAGGCGGAGCCGTACTTCAACAGAGGAGGAGCAAATGAAGTGAGTGACACTGCCTCAGTCGTAACCTCTCTCAACCGTTAAGGTTTAGAACGGTCGACTATAGACTGGCTAATTGGCACGTTATTTATTGGGTAAATAAAGTTAAATTGATAAAAAGAAAATGATATTCAAACATGACACTATCACGTTATTTAAACGTTTATTTTAATCAAAAAAGCTCATTGACATGTTGCACATCAGAAAAGTTATTTTTATCATGTTGTTAAAACAAAAACAAAAAATACACAAAAAAAAAATCTAAAATTTTCCCCATTGCTGAATAGGCGAATGCATATCTACTAGACGCCGCGTGCACACGGCGTCGTATCAACCCATAACAAGAGTAGTCTTTTTGTGCAAAATAAACTACTCTTGGTGGATTTCTAAAATTTGTATATCGATTTTTGTCGATAGTAGTGGAGTCAAAGGTAGGTTGTTGGGTGCAAGGCGATATTAAGTTGGTGTAAAGAGCGTAGTCTACGAATTTCTATAAATAAAATCTTTCAAAGTTAAAATAGACGTACTAAAATGTGAAGCTGGATAAATATGACTATATATATATATATATAAATTCTACTATAACTCGGTCTATCAATTATTGATAATTTTAGTCCGTACACCGACTAAGCATTACGTTCGTTTTGTTCATAGGGAAAAAAGTTCTCCAGCATAGATCATTGGAAGCCTAAAATAATCCTACACGGAACTAAATGTTCTATTTTTCGAAAAAATACAACTTAAATGAATAACAAGACAAAAACATAAACAATACGTTTAAATATGTCTTCCGCTCTATTTCGGTAATGTCTTTCGCTCGTTTTAACGTACACCACAATTTTGAAGTGGAACGAAAGTTGCCGGGCGTGACTCTCTTAGTGAAAGATTTCTGTTATTTAATATCAAATTTCAAACTGATAAAGAGCTTATTCTACTTAAAGTTTAAACTTGAACGTTTATTATTCTGAAATGATTTTAATACCAATCGTGACAAAATGTTGTATACGTATTTCTAGATAGTTTTGATGTATAACTAGTAAAAGTATAATAAAATGTTCTTTTTTTTCTTCTTTTCCTTCTGCATATTATCTGAGTGGATGGTCTTTCAAAATATTATGTCAGTTTTACTTAATCTGCAATTTTAAAAATGGGTCAAATTTACGGTATATTGAAAGAAAAAGAGTGTCAACCGCCATTTACCACAAGTTACACCCTTTGGTATGCTGATATAGGTAACAAAGAGTCGATATGTCATAGAGTCGTACATAGATCCATATAGCGGTTTTAATAACCTGAAAAATAATTCGGTATCAAAATGTTTTCTTGTTTTGTAACATAATGCTATGACATATGTTCATTCAAAGTTTAACAGTAATCGGCCAATGAAAATATTCGAATTATACGTATTCATGGTAATCCATATTTTGAAAATACTTTGATAAATATGAATTCCTTAGTTTGTGTAATATTTAGAGGTTGGCTTTGGATTTGAACATGAGAAATGTGTATATAAGACAATGCAATAAAAAGAAAATGAATTTTTGTACATGTCCAGTACAATTAGAGATGTGGAAATCAAAAAAGTATTTTCTTTTCCTTTTCTTTCGATGCCTGACAAAACATTAATATAGAAGCTTAAGTGTACTCACGTAAATAAGGTCACGATCATATCTCGCCTTCAGACACTTTTGGATGCTTTCAACAGACAAATCGTCCATGCGAGACAGATCATGTTGAAGCATCTCTGTCATCGCCATTCTGATTGGTCAGTTATCTGTACCGCGAACTGGTTAAAACGAACGGACAACCTGGTGCGATTAACTAATTCATGTTTGTGCTCTGTCCATTACAAAGCTGAAATAAATAGAAACGAATGTTAATTTCCTGAAATATTTTGCAATAATTTAACATTGAATATAATTATTATTCATCAATATGTGCTCATTATAAGTTAAGATAAATTTGTCTGATTACTAGTATACAAAAGCTGATTACTTCACATATAAGATTACCCCAATTAAAAATAAAAAAGGTTATTTCACATTGAAGAAACGTTTATCTGTGTTTCAGTTATCTTTATTTACTCGGATTTTGTCTATAATATAACAAAAGAATTCTTAATGAATATTTATATATCTGTCCCGATATTGTATAACACAATGATCATAATGCGTTGTATTTCAATGACATTTAAGATATTTGAACCAAATGATACTCTGCATAAAGGGCCTTTTAAGTTAGAAGTTTCAAATTACATGATTTTTCCTTGTTCCTTGTACCTGTATCATACATATTCATACAATCTGTACAACATGTGTGTGCATATAAGGTTTCGATTACGTCAGTTTGACAAAAGAAGAAAAAAATATTAAAAATTGTTTCCCCCCATTCAAACTTTATACAAATCAATGTTTTTGGTTAATGGCAAATAAAAAAAACAACTGCTAATAGTAACGTATAAACGAATTGGACTACAGTTGATAGGTAAAATGGAATTACTTTCTATGAAATTCGGCTACAGTCGCTTTGTAATTTATCTTAATAATGTACAAAATAACAGATTCTATCGAGGCACCAAGTGCAGACCAAGATCAACCGATACAGTCATGTTAACAGGGTATAGTCTGATTTTATTGACCTGTCAATTATGCATACATTATAGAACTCATTTAAATATTCGATCCCACTTCGGTTTGGTCCGTGTAGTTTACGAGAATTAATGTGGAGTATATTAGTCATGGATTGAAAGTCACGCCAGCTTAATGTGAAGGTTTTCGTTAATTCACAATAGTACAGTCGGTTAAGAGAATGCCTGATAATTTAGAGGTCTGTGGTTCGATCCTTGCTGTTGCCATTGTTTAGTACTCTTTCTTTATTTTTGCCGTATATTTTAAATGGAAACAGTTTGTAGTGTGTTTTACAGCATTGAAAAGACATTTATTGATTTAAATCCGTTTTAATTTTAAACATGAATTCTTAAAAACATGTTATTTAAAAAGAATATAGATATAACAAAATTAAGTAAAACATAATAAAACAAAACGAACAACATAAAAATAATCATATATAGCTCCAATATTGTTGAAAGTATTAATAAGAAAATAAAAACATAGACCTACGCGGTCTCGAACTTAAAACACGTGTGGCACTTAGAGTATAAGCTCGTGCTTTACCCTATTGCGCTTATAACGCTGAGTACACTTTGTTGAGAGATACAAATTAAACTAAATTCCATCGTACAGCGTACATCTCACGGAACTTACCGAAAATCTACCGAAGATTAATATACTGTGTGCATCGACCGTGTAATCAGTATGTAATTGACAGGTTAATAAAACCAAACAATATACAGGGTATACAAGTATTCGTACCCTTTATATTAAAAGATATTATTTTGTTAACCCAAGTACGTACAAATTTATTGCATTGCTGCAAAGTAATAATAGAAATGAGCTATGTAAATTAGCACTATATTACAAAAATGCTATGACTAGTAGAACTACAGTGTTAAATAATGTTCAATGATAGATAAAAATTTAGTTTATTAAAAATAAAGTTTAATGATAGATTAAAAATTAGTTTTGATATTGATTTTTCTTCTTAAATATGTTCATCCTCACTTAACTGAGGCTTAATAACAAATATCTGAACAATGACAATTGTTACAATTACAATTATTAATCTCTTTATATTATTTATTTTATTAATTTCTTTATATTGATTGCACTGAAAATTACATGTTACTCAAATATTATTATGTTATGTATATGATGATGTACTATGTACAAATCAGAAATAAAAGATCTGTTCTGTTCTGTTCTGTTCGGTAAAGGTATACTGGAAAAGTGTGTTTAGTGTGTTTTCTTTGTGATTGTTTTATCCAAATTAAAACTCGGTATCATTCGGCTGCAAAGCCGCCGGGTCTTATATGATTTTGAGTAACACGCATGATTTACTATGGCAAAGCACGATTACTTATTTTCGAGTATGAAACATTATTGCAAAATAAATAAAAACATTCACATATTTATGCTTAACATTTCAGTGCCCAATTTTTTGTTTTCAGTTTTATTGAAAAACATTGGTTATTTACATTTTTGCCAATTTAACGAGAAATCCTGTTATATCTCAGGAAAGAAAATAATGGACAGCCGGTTGTTTACCTATAATATGGAAGCTTTTTGAAACTGATTAATTTAGAGCACAGAAAATGATGACGAATCAAATTCAGCTTAAAAAGCTGGTCCTTCTTTTACAACGGGTGGACAAAACTGCATCAGAGCAGGGACCGTTTTTGTTTATAGCATATTCCCGATCGGTGTAAGCAATCAATTTTATATTTTTCTCTTTATTTTGTCTAGTACCCGTCTAGACCTATTTTCTAATGTATACCCGCGTTAAAAAGATACACATCGACAAAAGAAGTGAAACGACGAAACCACTGCGCTGAATACCAGTGTGACGTTATTGAATTTCCTTATGTGTGAGAAAGCTTCCCCTTTAATTATGCATTCCCGAAAATACATGTTAAGCATAAATGCACTTTGTAAACTTAGGAGTCAGCTTCTTACTTAGAAAAAAATAGTTTCTTTAAGTCAATTCTTTGTTAGTGCAAATTTGGAGGTCTACATGAATTTCAAGATAATTGCATTTTTTATAATTTATGCTATTTTGCTGATAATGTTTTTATAATGATACTTTGAATAGTGATTGTATTTTGTTAAAGGGAAAATTAAGCTAAAAGTTGAGCTAACCAAAATTCCTTCTTGGGCAATACTAAATTTATATAGGCCTTAATAGGATTATATACATGCGTCCATTTATAGAAGCTGTAAAAAATACATGTATCTTTAAAGATATGTATGGGTAAGAGCTTGTATTAAGATAACCATAGTGAGTCTTATCAAACTCTTACATATGTTACGAGCCATGCGTAACGAGAAAGAAAATCCAGCAACAAACTTGTAACAATAACAAATTTATTACAGAAAAATTACTAAAGAAAATTAAAACAACAAATTACATGTATGTGTACAAATACCTGAAGTCCAAATATAAATGTAAAATTCAAATGTCTAGTCTGATCCTGAAATGATCCCTTTTTGAATAGCACAGTTAAATCCAAGAACACTTAAGAATAAATTCCCACAATAAAATCCACAAGAATAATTAACAATCCAAGCTCCAATAAATCACTTAATTTCCAAGTTGAATAATACTCCAAATATATTGATGACTTAAAAGATCACTGATGACTAAAAAGGTCACTGATGACTTAAAAGATACTACGAAAGAAAAATCTCTTCTATATTATATTAAGCTAGGAAGTTTCTAGAATAGTCTTCCATTTACTACAGTTTTAATAATCTAGCAACTTCAACAATAAAGATCATTCCAGAAGTTTCTATCTAAATATAATGCATGAGTTTTTCTACAACAGTTAAGAAAGTTCTAGTACATACATGTAGTTAATGTTCTTAAAATAGAACAATGATAATATTGGAAATACCAACTGGTCAGATATAAATTATGTACATGTGATATGTTGTATACATAACACATATATCACTGCAAATTGCTTCTAACAACTCGATATCAGATAAAAACAGAGAAAGTGTCACCACTTTAATTAACAATCAAATTGTTTTCCCCAACAGTTACGTAAAACACGCTGCCTTTGGTCGACAGGTAAATGGGGTCCAATTACTTAGTCTTGCTTGTAAAACGATGAGTATTCACATCATAATATGCAGTTTATTTCTGAACATAATGTTTTGCTTACTTACTTTTTCTAGAAAATATAAACAGTAAGTAATTTATATCAGACATTTTTCTTAGAGTTAAAAGGATATCTAAAATTACAGTGTTCTAAATTAGCAATTGTCCGATAGCCCGTAACAACCAAATTTCTCCCCGGGCTACCAATATTTTGCAGAGATAAGCTCGACCGGGCTACCATATTTTCAGAGGCAATATAAACAACCATTTTAGTGTTGTGCTCCAATCTTTCCTTACTCTCACTCATAACGTAATTGATAATAAACAAATGTAATACATGCTCAAGCAAGTGATTTCACACAATTATAAATGTTCATTTGATGGAATATCAACAACACTCTATTTGCTATTGAATAAAATATATGTAAGTGGAGAATATCCATTTCGTTGGGAAGAGGTATAATAGTACCAAATTTTAAGAGCGGAGATATAGATGATGCAACAAATCACAGGGATATTACATTGATATATATTATTTCAAAATCTACTCACAAGTTCTTCTGAATTTTTTATAATAACCAAATTGTCCAAAAAGCACCAAATATAATTGAAAATCAATACGGCTTCCAAAATGATAAATCCACAGTCGATTGTATATTCTTTTGTATTCCGTTATTACAAAAACACTCTCTCATGGGAAGAAACTTTACTCAGTCTTTGTCGATTTTAAAAAAGTTTTGAAAAGATAGAAAGATCATAATTATATCGTATTGAACATGTCTGTAAAAGCGGCAATTAAATACAAAATTCTGTATCCACCTTCTTCGAATCTGAAATAGGCGCAAAAGAAGTGGATCCCAGCTTTAGCTTACTTTTTCTCTATTTCGTTAATAATTTAGTTAAAAGTATAAATACTAATTTTGAAGGATTGGTTATTATCGGTGAAATAAAACTTTTTGTTACTGTGTTTGTAGACGACACATTATTTTTGCGCACACACCTGAAGCATTACAGTCAATGCTCAATGACTTACAACTCTATTGTTTCAATTGGGGTAGAACTATCAATACAAAAAATACAAATATGATGAGTTTTGAACAAGGAAGACATTCTTCTTACGATATTAAGCTAAATAACGGATCATTAGAAATTGTAACCTATCTCAAATCTTTAGGAATGACTCTATTAAAGAACGGTTATTGGAATCGCACCAAAAAACTCTTGCGCAACATTCCCTTTACGCTCTCCATAATCTATTTTTTGTATTCAATCAGTAAGAACTAAAGTCGTTGATAAATGCAAGCTATTTGATAGTCTTGATAGGTGTATTCTTAATTATGGGGCAGAAGTATTTGGATACGACGAAGCAAAGAATATTGAATTAGTTCATTGTATTTTTTTAACGAATAGTATTTAATTTTAGGAAGTCAACACTTTTCAAAAGGTTTTGCGGAGAGCTTGACCGACATCCAAAGAGAATTGAAATAAAAATATAAATCTCTAGGAAAATAGATTACTTAAGCGAATAACAACATACTTAAAATTGATGCTGACATCGAAAATTCATATACAGGGAAAATTGGGTCTACCTTATCAAATCTGTTCGTCAGGAGATAGAGATGTATTATTTATGGTTAACTCATACTGCTAATACAAATAATTTCATTTCTTTAAAAACAGAATTTGGACATATATAAACAAGACTGGTATAGAAAAATAAATAATTCAAGGAGATTATCTTCCTATTGTATTTTCAAAAATGAATTTAAGCAAGACTTATATCTAAGTGTTATAAATACGAATAGCACATAATCTTGCCAAGAAACGCCTTTGGAAAAAAGAAAATGCCAAAAAATGTAACATGAATGTAATTGAAAATGAGTTTCATTTCCTCCTTATATGTCAAAATTGTTATAACCTAAGGAAACAATATATAAAACAAAATTTTGGTAGGTGGCCTACTTTAAGAAAATCGAATCACTGATGACAAGTAGAAATCCTAAAGACATTTATAATTTATCAAAATGTTTATATTTTTCATTTCAAAAAAGAGAGCTACAAAATGTATTGGAATTAAATAAGCTGAAAATATGTAACTTTTAATTAATTTATTTATTGTTCTGTTCTGTGTTAAATTTTTGTTTTGTACCATTCTCCTGCAAATCATTGAATATTGCACAATGTTTGTAATACGTTTATCCCTTTTCATAATAATTCAACTGAAATTATTATTGAATTATTCTGCAGAAAACAGACAAATTTTCATTTGTCACATATTTTTGCGATGCTACTTTTTAAAATTATAATTGTCACCAAAAGGAAGCTATGTTTTGTTAATAAGTGTTAAATAACAATCAAGATGAAAATTATTTCAACTTATTTGTTGAATTAAAATTGCTTAGGGTTTTGTTTAATATATCATTTGAGACAGAGATATTAACCAGTTTGTGTTGGTCATACACAAATGATATTCTTTGAGGGAGGGTGGGGTTGTGAATCATGCAGTGTTCGAATGTTTTTAATTGCTTTTTAGTGCTTCCCATTTTGATTACATTTCTTTTAAATATTTTACTAAATTAGCATTTTCTTTGTTCAAACTCTGCCCCCCCCCCACCTTCCCTCCCTTACTCTGTTTATTTATCATTCATGAATACTGCGTAACTAAATCTGTATTAGACATACTGGCTTTTAGTTATAGAGAATTAATTGTTTCAAATTATAATTATTTATTTCAAATATCATTACCCTGGAAGAATTAAATTTGAAACATGACATTTAGCAAAATACTCTCATTTGAAGCTAGGCTTTAATGTATTGAAAATAATGTTACGCTCTTAGAGTTATTTGCATAATTTTCAGGACATACAGATTTGTTCTTTCTGATCATCAGTAAACTAAACTGTTGTTGAAAATGAGACACAATCTGTGGCATCTATCCTCTTTTAAGCACTAAAAAAGGAAACTAAAGAAAAAAGAGCATAAATCAACAGTATAACATATAAAGTCAAGATAACAAGAACCCCACTCAATTTGTTAAAAATCTAATGATTTATTTCAATCATTAGATTGGTTCACGTGTTAAATTCAGAAGTAGTGAATATTCCTGTAATTACCTGCTCCAGTTCAATTCAGTCAAAAGTCCTTGTCACTTTAAGTTTTAAAACATTTTTATACATTTATTTTAACTTCCGATTTAACTACTTGTCAAAATGATTAAGTAAGAGAGGTGTATTTTGCTAGGTGTGACGCAGGAATGCGAAAACTATCCCGCAGACTTAGGTTACCGTACATCTATTCAACGATTTACACTTCAAGGCGCCTATTCAAGTAAAAATTCATTCGCAAGGGCGTTTTGTCTTCTGTATTATGCAATCTCAGATGTAATTGAAATACCCGTAACAAAATGTCCTGAAATGATAAAAGAAATCATATGCATATTTTGCAACTAACACATTTACAATATAACTCGTATAACATTTTTTTTCTAAGTACACATGTACGGACATTGCGAATTTTCATAAACATTGACGCACTTCTTCCATAATCATAACACTGTGTGTTTCATATATCTAAATACAGTTGCCCATTCTCTATATAATTATAATCTTCAATCTCAGCCGTTTTGTTATATTTCAGTCTTTTTTTAAATGATGAAAGCTCAAGTTTCTTGTTTACACATTAAAACTAAAAAAACTCAAATTTGAAAGAATATTTCATTTAACTGAAAGGAATAAACAAATTGTGATTAATAATTCACACTTTTAAGGTATTAATCGCTTGAAAAATGAAACCTTTCTAAATATAGGAGAAATTCGTACAAATGATGCGTGAACATTACTTGATGAGGTTTGAAAATGTCAATATCTCATGACTAAAGGAATCATCGTTTCTCCACAATATTTTAGACTTTTTATAAATATTGACCAACAAATTGTTATTATAATATATTTTCCATAAAGTTATCAAACGGTTACGCGTCTAGCAATACTTATCATACACTTCATTTATAATATTAATTTATGATATATAAGTTTAAAGAGATATACGTGTTTGAGTGGTTAAATTCAAGAGACGTAAAAAATATAAAAATTAAAATTCCTACAAAGACCAAGCGATGAATTAGAAATGATGGAAATTCTGCAAATGAATGACGAGTGAAATTAAAAATCGGTTCCTTACCCGATTTGGGTGCAAAGTACTGAAGTGCTTTTCATTTTCGGGCCATTTTACACAATTAAAATGATAATTGGTAGAAAGCGGATTGAGGGAATTATCTGCAATTTTGGACACGAGCTATTAACCTAAAACATTCATCAAATGGTACAAAAATCTTGAAATCATATATATATAGTCCAATCATGTAAAAAAGAAGTTCAGTCAAGTCTCTTTAAAATGAATCATGCGCCACTCACATTTGACAGTTTGAATATCCTGTTCTTCTTTGGAGTATGTTAGGCTCTTGGGAGTGTACTCTATTGAACACGAAAGTGCAATATCAAAGGATTATAAGGTACAATATATTTTCAATTTGCAAATTTAAGGAACAATACAGGAATAAGTGATTTTTCTCTGTATGATATTTTATTTCAATTGTGTAAACGCTGCATACACGATTTAAAGACATAAGTGATTAAATTTTTAGATATTTTGATAATGTTTAAACCACATAATAGTATTACATTCAAAACATTATAACATTTTGTATAATACAGTTATGAAGTTGTTGTATTTTTTAATATATCACAAAATTATCATAACAAACACAACAAAAACATTTGTGTATCGTATATAATTGGAGTTTCAAATAATAGTAGTGTAAATACCGGTAAATACGGTAAATTCGGTAAATACGGACGCGAGCAACATACATATCTTTACCACCAGCGCTTGAAAAACCGTCTTATTTATTAATGACTATGTCGCTTCTTTTAATATTCGTGTTCGAATTTGAAAAATCTTCTTGTAAAGACCCAAAAGGCCTAGAGCTTAGATATTTTGCATAAGGCATTGTCTGGTAGACCTCTAACAAGATTGTTCAAATTTTAGCCCTGGGGTCAAAATTGGCCCCGCCCCGGGGGTCATTGATTTTCACTATGTACATATAGTAAAAACTTTAAATACCTTCTTGTAAAAACCCAAAAGGCCTTGAGCTTAGATATTTTGCATAAGGCATCATCTAGTAGACCCTTACCAAGATTGTTCAAATTATAGCCCTTGGGTCAAAATCGGCCCCGCCCCGGGGTCATTGATTTTCGCTATATGTACATATAGTAAAAACTTAAAACACCTTATTGTAAAGACCCAAAAGGTCTAGAGCTTAGATATTTTGCATAAGGCATTGTCTGGTAGACCTCTACCCAGATTGTTCAAATTATAGCCCTGGTGTCAAAATCGGCTCCGCCCCAGGGGTCATTGGTTTTCCTTTTATGTATTTAGTAAAAACTTTAAAAAATTCTTCTAGCAATTGGCAAATGCTAGAGGTTAGATATCTTGCATGAAACATTGTGTTGTAAACCTCTAGCAAGATTGTTCAAATTATAGCCCTGGGGTCAAAATTGCTCCCGCCCTGGGGGTCATTGATTTCAATATATACATATAGTAAAAAATAAAAAATCTTATTGTCTGAAGGTACAAGGCTTAGAGCTTTAATATTTGTTAAATGATATCATCTAAAGGTACTCTACAAAAGTTGTCCAAATTTTGCCTCTTGTGTCAACATTAGCCCCGCCCCTGGGAGCCATAGGTTTATCTTATATGTATATAGTTAAAAATTAAGAAATCATCTTCTTTAAATTTACAAAGGATAGAGTTAAGATATTTTGCATGAAACATTGTGTAGTGAACCTCTAGCAAGATTGTTCAAATTATAGCCCTGGAGTCAAAATTGGTTCGGCCCCGGGGGTCATTGATTTTCATTATGTACATATAGTGAAAAAAAATATTTTTGTCTGAAGGTTAAAGGCATAGAGCTTTGATATTTGATATATAATATCATCTATAGGTCCTCTACCAAAAATGTTCAAATGTCAACAATTGGCACTGCTCGGGGGCAGTGATTCTCATTATGTACACATATTAAAAACAGAAAATAAAACAAATGTTTTCTGAATGGAAGAAAGCTATAGCTTAGATATTTGACTTGAAATGTTGTTTGTTGGACCTGTATTAAGATTGTTATTAAACCCTTGGGTCAAAATTATGCCTTGCCCAAGGAGACAGTGACCTACTTTCTTGTCCTTTGATGTACAGCAATGAAATTTTGACCATGTGCACAGTTTTAGTTGTAAAATTGAACTTTGACCTAGATTTTGATGACGTGACGTACTTTCTTGTCCTTTGATGCACAGCTATGAAATTTGAACCATGCGGTGGTATAGCATTTTTGTGCCCCCACGTTAGTGGCGGGCATTTAGATTTACCATTGTCCGATCGTCCGTCCGTCCGTCTGTCCGTCCTTCCGTCCGTCCGTCCGTTCACTTTTGTGTCGCACGTAACTCAAAAAGTATTTGACCTACAGTCATGAAACTTTACAGGAATGTTGATCAGCATTTGTAGTTGTGCACCTGGGTATTTTCGTCTGGATATTTTTAGTATTTTCAGAGTAATTGCCCTTGACTTAGTAAAATTTTGCAATTTTCAACTTGTGTCGCATGTAACTCAAAAAGTATTTGACCTAGAGTCATGAAACTTTACAGGAATGTTGATCAGCATGTGAAGTTGTGCACCTGGGTATTTTCGTCTGGATATTTTTAGTATTTTCAGAGATATTGCACTTGACTTAGTAAAATTTTGCAATTTTCAAATTGTGTCGCATGTAACGCAAAAAGAATTTGACCTACAGTCATGAAACTTTACAGGAATGTTGATCAGCATGTGTAGTTGTGCACCTGGGTATTTTGGTCTGGATATTTTTAGTATTTTCAGAGTTATTGCCCTTGACTTAGCAAAATTTTGCAATTTTCAACTTGTGTCGCATGTAACTCAAAAAGTATTTGACCTAGAGTCATGAAACTCTACAGGAATGTTGATCAGCATGTGAAGTTGTGCACCTGGGGTATTTTCGTGTGCATATTTTTAGTATTTTTAGAGTTATTGCCCTTGACTTAGTAAAATTTTGCAATTTTCAACTTGTGTCGCACATAACTCAAAAAGTATTTGACCTAGAGTCATGAAACTTTACAGGAATGTTGATAAGCATGTATAGTTGTGCACCTGGGTATTTTCGTCAGGATATTTTTAGTATTTTCAGAGTTATTGCCCTTCACTTAGTAAAATTTGGCAATTTTCAACATGTGTCGCACATTACTCAAAAAGTATTTGACCTAGAGTCATGTAACTTTACAGGAATATTGATCAGCATGTGCAGTTGTGCACCAGGTATTTTCGTCTGGATTTATTTAGTATTTTTTAGAGTTATTGCCCTTCACTTAGAAAATTTTTGCAATTTTCAACTTGTGTCGCAAGTTTCTCAAAAAGGATTTGACATAGTCAATAAACCTTATGGGCAGGTTGCTCAGCATATTTTAGATTTGCACCTGGGTTTTCCCTTGTGGATTTATCCAGTATTTGTAGAGTTATTTCCCTTGACTTAGTAAAAAGATTGACAGAACAGTGTCGCGGTGGGGGCACCCGTGTCCTATGGACACATTTCTTGTTCTTAAATACAATCTTGTTTCTTAAATCACATTTATCATGTTAAATTTATACCATTTTAATCTTTTTCTTTTTAATGTGTAATTATCCTATTATTCAAACATATCTTAATCATACCTATTATATCAGAGCCTGTCAAAAGCACATAATTATTTCTCTTTGCTCTTCCCTTTATGGCAGTTTTCATTATATTATTATATTATTTCACCATCCTAACCATTCCTTCTTTTCAGGATACCTAAAAAGTATACTTATAAAAATTGGGGAAAAACTATGAGATATGATCAAACTTCACTAGAAAACGCCGTTCGAGCTGTTGAAGCCAGGATCTCAGTACGAAATGCGGAAAAACAGTTTAATGTACCGAGGTCAACCATCGGTAAATGCAAGTCCGGAAAGCATGGCTTGAACACAAGTCATGGCAGACCACCAGCATTACCTGTAGCAAAAATTGAATGTAGCATAAAGGCAGCTGCTTAACTTGGAGCTGGCCTTAGCCGTAAACAAGTCTTGAGAAGAACACATGTATTGTGCGACCGACTTAAGATTAAGTCCGGTTATAATGATTTAAAAGCTGGAAAAGCATGGTTCGAAGGTCTAAAGCGCCGATTCCTGGGCCTTTTTTGAGAAAGCCCGAAAAATTGTTTTCTGTAAGGGCACGCATGTTTAATCCAGAAGTGCTTGGAAAGTAATTTGACACACTAGAGACAGTTGTTGCTGCAAATAATTTG